CCCAAGATTTTGCAATTGTCTGAAAATTACGGGCTCGACTGCTTCCACGTTTTGGTTCCCGTGGTGAAGTAAAAAACTCTCTTAGACCGTGGAATTCCGAGTGGTTCAAAGGGGTCATCTCATAATCCTGTAGCGTATAACTGTGGAAAAGGATTAAAAGGGACTCTTTACTTGCTCCATCAAATGCATCCTACTGTACTTACCGCTTAAACTTGATGACAGATTTGATCCCATTTGCAAGATCCACTTTGTCCACGTCGGGCATTCTTTGTCTGTTGTGAATGGTTGCCGTGGATTCTTCATAAATCTCATCCTCGCTCATCCTCTCATCGTTGAAGTTGTTGGTTGGGGTAAACAATGGCTGATGTATTTGAACCGATTTTCCCACTTCCGCAGACGTCGAGTGCCGAAGCGTTTCCTGTGAATTTACAGTAGCGTCCGGCGACTGAGGTGCATGGGTTAAAGTTGAGAGTGGCGATGGATAAGCGACTTCAGCAGTGACATCGGGCAATTGTGATGCCGGGACGGAACTTGAGGGCGGTGAAGGATAACAATCTGCAGATTTGACAGGTAATGATAAAATTATTATGATTATTGCAGTTGTGAGAAAAGTTCATGGAGCAACCCTAACCCTAACCCTAAGGACTGAGAAGAAGGCAGCAGTCATTACCCCTTTGTAGCGTTACCGCGGAGAGCGCTGGATGTTCCATACAAAAGAGCTTGCTACTGATTGCCTTTGCCTTTATTAGGTCACAGCGTGGTGGATAGAAATTTCGCTTTCAACGTTTTGATGTGCTTGTTTTGTGCCATATCTGCACTTCTGTCGCTTCTGACCATCACAATTTATGGACTCATGTTCAAGTACCTTCGAGCGATGGCCGATCGGGTGTCACTGCGGCTAATCGCTCTCATTGCCGTTGCCGACTTCGCCTTCAGCATTTCCTCGCCCATCGTCAACTATATACCTGCTAGCGGGTGTAAGTACCACTCTTATCATGACGCCGCAGACACCTTCTGAAGAGCCCGACTATCTTGCCTGCGCTCTTGTGACGTCGGAGGCGAGCGTAAAGGACCGCAACTCAAAGGGTGGAAGGTGACCTACCTACCTCCAAAACATCTATCCTGACCTTCGCTCTCTTCTTCCTTCGTTGATGCGATCGTCGTTGTTTTTTGACCGTGTCCGTAACCCTTCCCTTTCAATCATTTCCTAGAAGCATCCCCGAAATTCCATGTTATATTTCAGGATTCTTCACGGTTTTTGGAGTGGTCGGCAGGTGGATGAAAGACCTCTTGTTGTAAGCCCTTAAGTATTTGGAAACTCAATTTTCTGCCGCTTTCCATTCCGTCATCTCCATCAACTGCTTTAGCACCCTAGTCACTTCTTGCATTGGGCTCAACATTTTCTTGACATTCGTCATATCAGTGCGACCGAAAAAGATCTACGAAATCCTATATGTCGTCGTCGCTTTCGCAATTGCACTGATCTTGCCGACAATAGCCATCGGGATGAAGCGATTCAAGTGGCAACCAGATCGTGATTTGTGTTGTTGGGCTGGGGAGACCCCTGGGGACGCCAGGGCCTCTAGCTGGGGGTTCTTTTACAGTTGGGTATTCACTTCCGTCGTCGCTTGCACCGCTTTCATCGGCATTTTTGCCATCGTTCTGCGAAGACATGAGAAAACGATAGAGACCACAATTCGAGCAAGCAAGGGCAAAGTCGGCCACAAAAGCCGCTGGCGAGAAAGTATCCAGAAGAGAACGGAAACGCGCAAGCTTGGTGACGAAAACAGTAACAAAAATCAGTGGGTACTGCTTTGTTCCGATAATCTCGCAAATATTCAATGTCGTCTGGGATATGGTAGATCAAACGGTGAGGGCTCGTTCTTGTATTTCACGGTACAGACGCGCATCCAAGCTGCGGAAACACCTTTTTCGAGACATATCCGTCTGGTGCTGTGAGCACTAAACATGCGCCTTTTGCTGTTTGCATCGTTCAGGGAGGCATCTCGACCGACTCTTACCGTCTAGAAGCAAAATGCGTCACTATATGGTGGATGTCTGTGATGTTGGCTTCCCTCCAGGGAACCTTTAACTCCACCATTTTCCTTTTGATGGATCCTGCCGTCGGCAAAGCTCGAGAATCACTCGAGAGACATTTGATCGACGCGTACTACAAGCCTACAAGGCGAACGCGGAGAACGCCGAGAAGACGAAGATCCAGCTCGAGGATTCTGCTTTGCCTTTCTTTCTTTCCTGTGCTTGCCGGTTTGACGGCGACGACCTTGTTTAGATTTGTTTGAATCATATTTGGGACATTTTTTGTTGGATGCGATGTGCCCCTTTTTCCGACATCGGCTACGCTTCGGACGCGCGTGTGTTTTGGTAGAGGATGGTGTCATGACCGAGCGACAAGATGGCGTTGTGATTATAAAAATGGATTGTTCTCAAGCGCCTTTTATACTGAAACAAGCCTGAATATTTGTTGCCTGCATTCGTATAAATGAGGAATTCTTCGATGTGATACCTTTCCCTGGAACGCAAGCTGACCAACAAATTAGGTTTGTTTGAATATGCGATCATTTGAACATGACAATTGCTGAAAGGAACGCAAGCTGACCAACAAATTAGGTTTGTTTGAATATGCGATCATTTGAACATGACAATTGCTGAAAGGAACGCAAGCTGACCAACAAATTAGGTTTGTTTGAATATGCGATCATTTGAACATGACAATTGCTGAAAGGAACGCAAGCTGACCAACAAATTAGGTTTGTTTGAATATGCGATCATTTGAACATGACAATTGCTGAAAGGAAATGAAGGTTTGGCGCCCTTTTCATATGCTCCGCATCCATTTCATTTCATACAATAAAGATGGAAAGTCCTTTTGACGTCACCCAACGCTCTTGATAACTGGATTTATACAAATCTCGAGGAAATCCCTCGACGGGTGACATCTTTCCCTGAAACGCAAACTGACCAGCATGTTAGGTTTCTGGAAGCTGACGCAAACAAGCCAACGACGAAAAGCAAATGTAAGAATCCCTCCCTATTCAGGAAGATGGATGGTTTACGGTGACAAATATTCAAAGCATTTGATGGTGACGTCAGTGGACGACTTGCCTTCCTTTTTGGATGAAGTCAAACGGATGCATAGCTTATAAAAAGAGAGGCCAATGCTTCACAAATCATTCTCCTGTAAATCAATCGTATATTTGAACAACCCCTTACCGCGTTTTGTCGAAGAACCTTCATTTTCACCTGCTTCCAGCCACTCACCAGGACCCATGGACGAACAGGAGGGCCTCAACGTTGCTGAGCTCGCCAAACATTCGTGCAGGAAGGAGAGCAAGTTTAAAGGTGTACCATTGACTGTCTTGGCACCAGTGCTGGTGGCTTTGGCATTGGTTGGCGTGCTTCTTCCGGTACGGGATTAGCATTCAGGAAGGTTGCAGTTAATGCGAAGATTTATCGATTCAACAAACTTTTCCAAGAACACGTACATTTTGCAAAATGCTAGCGAAGCTACAACCTCAGATTTGGTGAACATGTACCTCTCATCATTACTTGGGAATGTAATGCGCAGATGTGTTCACGCCGTTGTTGAAAGAGTTCTACTTTCGATCAGATCGCAGCTGACTTTCAGCCCTTCTTTGGCTGGAACAGGTCAAGTTACAAACCGAGAGTGTGATTGCACCTCTTCCAGGGCTCGTCAAAGGTGTCCGAGATTTATCGAGTACTACGGCTATATTCGCTGGACGTATGTACATGCCACAAACGTTTTTAAAACGAGCGAAATGTCATCAACTGCTTGTTATCTGCATTTCTATAGCTTGGCAAGATTTCCAGAATCATTCTGAATTTATTTCGACCTTGGCGCATCTCTGGGGTTCATTCAAACTTGACGCCATATCCTGCAATTCAGCCCGTTGGCGATCTGGTCATAGGTACGTGATGCTTCTTTCCCGGGTTTGTCTGCAATGGACTTGAATAGATGTAACCAAGTTCCTGTCACCCGCCGGTTTAGCAACACTGAACCATTGGATTGGTATACCAACGACTTCGGAGTCATCCAAATTGTCAGAGCGCCTGGTTCGGCAGATGTTTGGGCTGCAATTTCAGACACAGGAAGTACGGTCTCCTTGTAACTCCCTTTAAGGTGTCGGGGCATGTTTACATGAACTAAAATATGTGTGAATCTTTTAACGCTGCTTAGGCCCGGGCTTCCAGCGTATCTACGCCCTAAATAAAACTAGTACGTATATATTGCTAAAACATGAGCTCTTGCATTCGGGTTTTCGTCAACTTATCCACTCGTGTAGCGTTTGAGCCGGGGCCTCATATAAGATCTTTCCCGAATGTAGCAGTGCCCAAAACCGGTACTGTCAAAACTTCAGCAACTGGACTTCCTTGCTATGCTCCCCCTTGGAGACTGCCTACTAAACACATGATATTGCAGTGCTTGTAGCATTGAACTTGACGACCCAGTATACGGAACCTTTCGTATCATGTAATGTCCTTGTTTGGTGTCCCGAGGTAGTAGCCATTGTCATGATTCCCCTCTGATGTTGGTTCGACATGAATTCTGGATGCAGATCTTGTCGACGCTACTATTAATCTCGCCACTACATACGTCGTTGCGATGAGCTACAATGCTGGGATGGCCCCCTTCGGATGCACCGCCGGCATCGCTACATCAACAACATGGAATACTGCCTTGCGGAACTTCAAACCTACGGATGACAGTGGTATGTATGTGGCGGGGAGTTAACCTGATGAAGCTCCTTGTCTTTGGCGAGCATCGCATTACTAACTCGGTGTACGTATTTGTTTTCTTCGCCATACGAACAGTCATCTTACTACTAGGTGCCAACTTCAAACTGTTGGCGTCCAGCAACATGTTCCTAAATCATACCAGTGTATCTGGCGCGACATATGACGTGGCAGTAGCGGACGATTGGACAGTGGCTTTCCAAGCCATGATCGTGACCCGCTACAATAACCAATCCGCTACGGCTATGGCCGTCGCCAGGAAAGGTTCCCAGTTTGAGGTTGTCATCAGTGGAACGCCGTTCGTAGGTCCTCCTCATCGCAGCACGCTCTATTCCACATTGGAACTGATTTCCAGCAATGTGTTCGCGTCCCGTTTCGTCCAGATCATCGGCATATCTTTAGTCGGTGTCACCCAGTATGACCAAGATCAACTGTTTCTTATCGCTGGGATACCTCGTTCTCAGGTAACCAAGATTTCGCCCATAATATCTCATTCTAATTCATCTCGTCCTCATCCATATTCACGCGTGCAAATTAAAGTGCTTTCTTCCTAAAATTCTTCTCTTCAACACCGGAACAGATTTACGGAAAATTGGAGAGCGCTCAAAAGCGTAGCCGTGCGGTTGTTATTGGTATCAGTGTAGCTGTGACAATTGTCGTCGCGGGCATCTTCGTGCTTGTAGCATTGCCGCTTTTACGTCTAGCCCACGAGATGGCACAACTGACAAAGCTAGATTTTGGAACTTTGGAAAGTTCTGGGGCACTGGATCGTCGTAGTCTCATTTGGGAGGTGAGATAGAAAAGAGAGCGAAATTGATATGTTTGTTCATGGTGCTCCTCTCAAATGCCGGACCCTTCACGGGGATTATCGAAAGTTTCTGCTCAGTAACTGTTCTTTCCCGCCGCCAGCTCCGTAAAGTTCAACGCACATTCGCGACCATGGTTAGGGTACGCTCTCTCCTCTCCCTGCAATTATCCGTTTTCGAGGGAGTTATCAGCGAATTTTCAGCCGCTTCAATCAAAACTCATGCTTTCATGCGCTGATTCTGTTTTGCACCTTCTCCATTCCAGGCGTTTGCAGGCGCCATTAAGCGCAACAGAGCCATGGTTCGTCCCAGTGGCGGAATTGCGTCTAATCCGCAGAACCAATCCATTTCAAAAGCTGGAACTGCGGTAACACCATCACAGGCTGCGATGCCTATGAATGGATAGAGAAACGGATCGGTTTTGGACGAGGATTATGATTGCTGAGATGATTATAGTCAATGCACATCAATAGTATTGTTACATCGAAAAACAAACGGGGAAAAACAAACATGGGTTTTACAAAGAGCCGTCTATCACCCCCTTTGGGTTGCTTTTTTCCAGAGATGTCTGAAACCGTAAGCCTTTCGAAATCCGGAAGGACTTCAGCCATAAGGACTAGGAATATATTCAGTATAATGTGCCGCTTGTACGGAGTTGGCGCGCGACTCAAAGCAGGAGCCGAACGGTATGAAATTCAATGCCCTCTTTTTCGATCGGTGGAGTCTGAACGACTTGCAATGAACGTATCGCTCGGCTCAGTGAACGAAACGATATATCGCCGCTTTGATGATGCAGTGAACTTCGTACAACGATATCAGTGCACTCGAACTTCACTCATGATCCGCCCGAAGGCTCGAATGCCCGCGCGATAGCCGACCGGGGCTTGAAGTTCAACGTGGTTTTCCGCTTTCATAAGGATATACATTACATCTGAATCCAGCTTCACGTTTTTCCTGTGCGTCCCGTCCTCCGAACTGGTCTTAAGAGACACACAACTGTCGAGTTCCAAGACAAAGGGAGCGATTTAACGTGAGTCAAGGATGTTCTAATATATAGTTTTTTTCCCGGTACATGATTTGGAACCAGAAATTTCAGGCGAAAATAGATAAAGCAAGCATCGACCAATCTCCTGGGTACGTTATAAATTAAATGCATTTCAAAAATTGCAACGTTCCCCAAAAATGTGCTCAGTTTGCTTCATGTACATTGTGAAGCTCACCATAGGAAGCGTTCTTTCGTAGATCCCGTTTACGGAGTTCCCCGTCATGGCAAAGTACTATTACTACGAAGTGAACCGCCTCGAACTGCCGTACACTGTGTTTTGCAGCGACGGGGCATTGGTCAATGTCCAGAAACCAAACGAGCAAGCGGTAAGCATTCCCTAGTGATCGAATGGCTTGTGCTTAGGCCCTGGACCGCAGGAGTTGACATCACACAGGTACGCAACGAACTTTCATATGAAAGAAGTACGATCCACAGCGGTGACACAGCACTCATGAATTCAGTAGCAGAATAAACCACACCCAAGACTCATATATACAATTGGGATCAGTAGACAATGATACGCTTCCCTCCAACTTGCTTCCCAAAACCTCCCCTATTCAGGCCACCCTGATAATCTGCTTTCCACGGTTGCGGCCCTTCAGCAGACCGATGAACGCAGCCGGAGCGTTAGCAATGCCCTCATCAACGTGTTCGTGGTACACGATCTTTCTCTCCTTGATGTATTGGGAGACTTCCTCCTGGAAACGCTTGTAAAGCTCCCGGTCGGCGTAGTGGTCGAAGACGATGAAACCTTGCATCTTCAGCTTGAATTTAAGAACTGCGGTGAGGTTCTTGACGCCGTAGGGCTCAGTCGCGTTGTACTGGGAGATGGAGCCGCTGTTGTCGTGAAAGCCGTCAGAGTTTAGAATCTGGTATGGTTTTATGCACCTTTCACCTGGATCCAATGCTAGCAAGTGTATTCGCTTACCAGACAGGAATACGTCCGTAGGGGTTCATCAACGGTAACACAGCGTCCAACATTTCACCGCCGACGTTGTCCCAGTAGACTTCGATGCCCTTGGGACAGTGCTCGTTCAATGCATCGGTGTACGATTTCACCGTCTTGTAGTTGAAGGCGGCGTCATATTTGGCCTCCTCGAGAAGGAGCTTGACCTTGTCGTCGCTTCCAGCCGATCCAATCACGCGGCAGCCCTTGGCTTTCGCAATCTGTCCCACTACAAGGCCAACGGCGCCCGAGGCTGCGCTGACGTAGACGGTCTCGCCGGCTTTGGGCTCACCGATCTTCGTGAGGCCAATGTACGCCGTGTAGCCAGGCATGCCGAGAATTCCACTGATTTGCATGGAATCAGTAGGTAAGCAACTCAATCGACACCTGTAGGTTTTGTTTGCCTGATCGCGGGTCATGCAACTTACAGGAAGTAAGACAAGGGCACGTCGGCCTTCTTCTCAATCTTCTGCAGGCCCTTTTCCTCTACAACCGTCCATTCTGCTCAATCAACCACCCCAATCACAAGATCGCCCTTCTGCAGCTTGCTGCCCGTTCCGGCGCGATAAACCTCACCCACGCCCTCTGCCTTCAGAGGCTCGCCAATCTTGAAAGGGTCGATGTACGACTTGTCCTTCGTGGCCATTCGCATGCGCTAGAGCATTTTCCGAAGGTCAGTTTCCCAAGTCGCGATCGAGAACTTTAAGGCATTCATGTTAGGTGTTTACCATATAAGGATCCAAGGACAGGTACAAGGTCTTGACCAGTACGTGACCAGGCTTGATTTCAGCGGTGTCGGGGTTGAAGTCCTTGTGCACGACTTCCATGTGCTTCTCCTCGACCCATCCCTTGGGTTCTTCCTTGAAAATGACGACAGTGTTCTTAAGGGCAGGCAGGGCAGGCATGTTTGTAAGGATTGATTGAATCGATGAATATATATGTGTTGATGTGTGTCGGAATCGCACGATATATGGCGTATGAGAAGAGTGAAAATAGAGGGGACGAGCCAGTCTTTTATACGCTCAATTTCTCGTCCCAGCACTTCATACGTGGACCAAAAAAGATCGAGCGGTCCCTCCACACTTTTACTCTCAATTCCTCGTCCCAGCACTTCATCCATCACACTTCGTCACGGAGCCATGAACCCGATCGCTAATAATCATCTCATGGATAGATATCATAAGCGCATGGCTGCGGACTGCATGGAACAAAGCGGCCCTCGAAAGATGAATTGCCAATAGCTGGGGAAGCTCTGAGAACTGGGAGACAGAAAGCGGTTGCAGTTCAACGGTGGCAGACAGAAAGCGGTGTCACATCGCCGTCACAGCAATAACTACTGTCAGAACCCCAATAACACGATTTCCTTCCCCCGGGCCTTGGTGCGACTTTCGTGACATCACAGCAGCGCTTCCCCGTCCGACAACTCCACATCCACTCATGACTCCTCCATGCTGGTGTTAGGTACTGCCTCGGCCGGGTGAGCTTTGCGCGTCCCACCTTCTTTCAGCTTCTTTACTTCGGGACGGAAAGCTGGTTTGCGCAGGTGTCAGCGCGTCGCTCTCGCTCACTTTTTGACGCCGTCATTTTCGAGCCCAGCAGTGATCTTCCCTTTGTTGACTTTACTCCTGATCAAACTCCGTGGAAAACATTTCAATCCTTCATTTGCTTCCTCAATCTGATTGAACCACCTGAGGCAATTGCAACAACACCCATATACATGCGCACTATGCCCATTCTGTAATTGCATTTCCAGAACGTAAACGGGAGTATTTTACAGCAATGCTCCTGATCGAACTCCGTGGAAAAACTTCTATCCTTCATTTGCTTGCTCAATCTGATTTGCCCACCTCAGGCGCTGGCTACGACACCCCGTATACATGCACGCTATATATCGGAGAAGTGTATCCAGCAAAACCATAAAGAGAAGTTGTAATTCATTGGAATAGGGCCCAATACAGGTTTTTACGAACACAAACCACTCTTGCACCTTACTGTTGCGATCTGCCACAACAGCCTCTATGATGTCCTTGGTGATGGCAACGCAGTTCGGGCGCACTGCTCCGGTGACGGCAACAACCGCAAGAGTGGCTGGCAAGGGGTGGTGTAACCGGCGTTGATGTCGCATGGGAAAGAACCTCAGTTAGGGTTACATGCGCGAGTAACAGCCACAAGGGTTAGGCCAGCCTCAAACCGCGCCCCGGACTCGTCGAAGGAACAGGCCTATTTTCATAGAGCAAAGCAGGAGAAGATCTCCAACGACGGCGGGGCAACGTGGGTCTCTCTCGAGGACGGGGTGAGAGACGTTGGTATAAACGTTGGCACCTATCCCGCGCCGAATGAGCTGAAAGGCTCGGACGGCTGGGCCGTCCTTGAAGCAAATGGGCTTTTCGTGCGGATACCCTTCGGCTCCCTATCCGATAGGGCGTCCACGCTCTGGTCCACGCTACTAGCACCATTCGTCCATCCCGAAGAGCACGACAGAGGCTCCCTCCGTGGTGTAAGTCAAGTTCGTGCTCTTCCATTCTGAAGGCTATTCACTAACTCCGCCTGTCAATCACGCAGCGTTCGGAATTGGATGCCGCTGAGAGAAAGCTTCTGCAAGATGCGTTGGACGCACCAAAAGGGTACTTCGGCCAACCGTGGGCCCGGTTCAGGCAAGAACCTGCCTACCGCCGCTTCTTCAATCACGTCCTTGATTATTTTCTGGAGGACTCTGATTTTGACACTGTTGAGTACGTATACCCGGTCTGTAGATGCGCAAATATGGAAGTTGTATTAAGACTGTCCCTCACTACCAGAATGAGCCAGGCGCAGTTTCCGTTTGGGTGCGTACTGGGGACTCGCAAATGTTTACCCGACGTCGCAGTCTACGGCAAGACGACGACGCATGCTCTCGGCGATCCCGCGTTTCGCCCCTCGTGTCTAGTTGGGGAGTACAAGGGAGACGTGGACCCGGCCACGGCTGAACCACAACTGGCAATGTATCTTGCTGGAGAAGCAATTGTGTTGTTAAGTGTGGGGATCTCTTATGATGACATATGCGCCATTGGCTTCGCCCTTGGTTCAAAGCGCGTCATCTTCTCCGCTATGACCTTCCGACGGCATCCGGACGACGCAAGCTGCAACTCGTCTATACCCGAGTGCTCACTTGCGTGCCCGTTGACCTAGAAAGCCGGCAAGTGGCGACTTCCGTTGGGTGCCTCCGCATCGCCGTGAAGCGCTATGCGTCCCAACTGCAAGCGCTTCTTCGAGATCATGCCCACAGCTTCAAGCTTAAGGCAGCGGCCGATAGTACGACGACGATTACGACTACTCCGACCCCGAGGACCTCGCCGCTGAATTTCATGATAGCGCGGAGACGTAGTCTCCGCGCGTCCTAGCACTCCTGGCCCGAAGCATGCACATTTGCTTGAGCGGCTCGAGCAATCTGCTGCTAGCGAGCGGTCGTAAACTTTGCCTTTGGGTAGTGCGGGGCTCTGTTGGCAAAGGTGAGCACCTTACATGGTTCGCTTGCTTTTCCAGTAGCTAATGTCTCGCGACAGGTTTCTTGATCATCGTAGTCTACGTTGACCACCTTACCAGCGTGGCATCAGATGCTGCAGAAAGGGAAGCCATCAAGAAAAACCTCAAGACACAGTCAGTGTCCATATGTCTGCGACCTCACGTGATTAAGTCAATGTCCATCCTCAAGTATGGCATCAGTCGCCGGTCGAGTCGCAGGGGGCCGGCCTGGAAGTCACGGGTGGGCGCAAACATATGGACACTGACTGTACGCTTCGAAATGGAAGATATGGGGGAGCTGACCTACCTACTGGCATCAAGGTCAAGCGTACGCGAAGAAACCAAACCCTTACCATCGGACAACAAAAGTACATCGGAGGTATCCTCAGGACGTCAGGATCAGAGATGGGTGAGGGTTAGCTGCGGAGCCATGGGGGAAAGGGAGGTGTACTAGTAGGAGGTTGCTTCGAAGATTTTTGCTCCCACAGTTCTGATTGATAAATGTCTGCTGTTCAATAGCTGGAAACCAAAACTGATAGCTTATGTGATTCCCCATATCTGGTTTAGTGATCTTCAGTCTTCTCAGGTCGGTTGGTTTGGTATGATTTTTGCAATGGGCAAGTATTGGGGGGGGAAAAGGTAATCTGGAAATGCGTCGGGCGAAGGCAGCGGAGTTGTGTACGCGCGCTTGCGCAAAACGTATGTAAGCGCTGAGGGCGACGCTGTTACGGTGCTGAAGGAATGATGAGCAAGCTACAGTAGAGCCGTTCCCGTGAGGTGCACCTATTAACTATTCTTCCGATTCACAACACACTCCTAGAAGACGGACCTCCGCCGCAAGCCGACCGAAGTTGCTCTAAACTCAAACCGAACTTAAATCGTCGAACGACAGACACCACCCTGGCACTCTCGAGACCTTGCCCGCCGAGGTCCTCCTCAAGATCGTCCTTCCCGCCCGTGATTCCTCCGACGACATTCTGCGCCCCGACTGGTCTTTGCTGGCCCGTGTGTGCCGCGCAAGCAAACTCCTCTCCACCAAGCTGCCGCTGGAGCTACTCATCTCCAGCTTTTTGCGTCACGTCGCTTTCCTCTCCTCCGCGAAGGGAAACCAGCTGTACCAAGCCGAAATCAAAGACTTCAACCGGAAAACAGCCTCCGAGCCGTATGTCAACCCCGAATGTGGTGACGAAATTCGACAATAGCAGCAGCGACTCGGATGACGACTCGGAGGATAGCGATCCGGACACTTACGAACGGGAGCCCGTATTATACTATCGGGTACCGATTATCCTTGCCGAAACCCGGATGACTGCCATGCTTCGGGCGGGCAGTATCGGTCTCTACGACCAGTTTGTGGCAGCCGGCTTGTACGAGCTGGACCACGGCGGATTGGGCCCCTCCTCCAGATCCTGGTCTGTGGTACGCTTGATGAAGGGTGTCATTGATAGCGGGTCCTTGCCGCTGGTGGAAGTATGTATCACTCATATGACCGCAAATACTCACGTTGCCGTCCCTTTAGCATCTGCTCAAAGAGTGGGGCTATTTCATCCCAGACCGCAGTGCCTGTTCAGCGTGATACCAGGGTCAAGCTGCTTCTAGGGGCCGGTAGGCTGGAGCAACAAGACTTCTGGCTTGCCGTGATCGAGCATGCCTTGAATAGGAACCATCTCGACATGGCGTCCATCCTTTTTGAAGCGGCCCGTCGTGGGGGGGGGGGGGGGGGGGGGGCAAGTCGTCTATGCGTAATATCTTGACTGCGGGCAGTTCCCAGAACAAGGGCTGTGTCGGTCTCCCTTTCAGCCTTACGGTTTCATCTTCGTTGACCAGGTATACCAGACTCACTGACGACCATTGAGGTGAGATGACTTCACTTTGTGTTTTTGGTGCCTGCTGCCGAGTCCCATTAGAAAGCGTTCGTTGTTTTCCTTTGTCGGGGTGTCGTCGACCCTGTCGAGATGGGACTCCGTGCAAAACTCGGTGTCGGATTTGGGTTATGGTGTCGAATTTGGGGACAGTATTTGTGACCAGTACTCCCGCGCGTGGAATCAATTGTTGTGGGCCGCAGAGTCCTATAAGAGTCGAAGAGGTGAACACTCCGCAAGATGCACGTACATACAGAACATGCAAGGAGATCACACTCTGGAGATCCCAGTAACAGTTCGCTAGCATTCGCCCGGCCTCGTCATGGCTTCCTTGTCTTGGAGACTGAATAGGAGGGCATTCTCTCAAGCTGGGTTCAGAGGTGCGGAACGTTCTGGTCCCCTGTTCCGTATGAGTACCTTCGCTAATTTCACTTTCCAGGGGGGGCTTGGTCCTCGTCGCTCCAGGACCGCATACACCAGCAGACGCTGAAGAGTAGAATCCAGTATCTGGATTCCGTTGCGGGTACGAAAGCGAAAAAAGTCTGCCTCATCTCCACCTGCTCATACCCTCAACCGTTTCAGGCGCAAAAGTCCCGGCCAGCGCTTGGCACGCCCTCCCTCTACTTGTTCTGTTTACCATCTGGATTGCTATCGTCTTGTCAGTTGTGAGGCCAAGCGCCTGCGCTAGCGAGGTTTACTTACCTTCCGACGATATCACCGGGCCCTCCCGGCCTTCTTACAATCGCTTTTCGAGCGAGATCGCTATGCCATCTCCCACTCGGCTTTCTTCGGTTTCACTGGTCGCCTCCATCACTGCCACATCTTCCGGTGCGTCTGTCGCTACGGCAGCTCTTGCCAGAACAACTGTTGTGTCCGTCTCAGCGTCGGTGTCATCTGCCGCCGCCACGCCTGTACCTACCCCTGACTTGAGCGTCACCTCTGGCGGGGCGGGAGGCGGTGGCGGCTCTGATTCTCTGCCACTCAGAGTTGCGTGCTCCTTGGATTGCCCAACCCCAAACAGCGACAGGTGCATGGTTGGTTCGAGCGACTTTTTCCAGTGCATGGAGGAAGTCAACAAGCCTCGGCAAGCCTGTGTTGAGAAGTGCGACAACATGTTTCCCAGGCGCCGGGGCCTGTACCGGCGGGCCTTGTGCACCAACTCTGGAGCATTCAATGGGTAAGCATCGTGCGCCCACGGTAATAATACTCGAAGCGGGTCGCTCTCACAATGTATGCAATCTTCTAAGTTTACCTTTCCTGTCGGTCTCGCTTCCCTTCGTAGCTACGGCGTTCCCGTCCTCATCCTATTTCTCGCGTTTACGGTCGTCGGTGCGATTATTCACTTCGTGCGCCAGAGCAACATGGAAAATGCCCGAGCAGCGACCCAGAAGGCCCTGGAAGTGCTAAACGATCAGGATAACCCTCGCGGACTCGCCTGGAAATACTTAGAGATAAAGCGGACGACGACTACTTATAACGCCAGGACCGGAGCGCGAATCTCGCGAAGAAAGCAGTATTTTCCCGTAAGCACGCGCCGTTGCGGACGCTGAGCCTAGCCTCCTCGTGTAATCGTGCCTCCTAACGAATGCGTATTACCCTCCACATCGTCGCAGGTGGTGGAATTGGAAGTCATACCCTTTTCCTCGTTTTCGTTTGCTGATGAGCATGGTTTTGCATTGTCACTGCCTATGACGTCTACTTCCCCACGCGTTGGACCAGTAACTTCGAGCCCAGTCTCTACCCCGCCCGCATTCCCGCTCCCCACTGGGATGGCATCTCTCGCACCCCGTCCGACTTCGACACTGATAAGACAATACCTCGTTTCGTCGCCGTCGGCGGATCAGGATACACACCCACAACTCGCCAATCCGTTCATGGAAAACACCTACCGCGCTTCCTACTATCCGGAGGCGGATGAAGCACCACCTCCGCCTTACAACACCTATGCCCGTTGAACCACTAACACACATGGCCTGGGAAAACTGAACCGCTGGACGGTGAAGCCGCTGGCCCGGTCTTGTATATCAATCTCTTTGACATAGCTATATATAGTTAAAAAAGTAGATACGGCGTAGCCACATCTCTGCCTGCCTACGTAGAGATTATATAGAAATCCACGCAAATCTTGGGTTGACACGATGCGCGAGGTGAAAAACAAGAGGCCTGACGCAGATTCAAGGTACCTATACGTAACGGAAGGACGTGATGATCAACAGCGGCTATGAAAATGACAGCATTTTGACAGCCGTAGGGCATCTAGTCCCGACAGAACATCTGCTCACACGAATCGTAGACCGAATCGAGATGGGACAGCTGCCAATACCTAATGGGATAGCCCCGAGATGATCCTAGGCCCACAGGGACTAGCCCCGTGGGTCACATGAGTTGAGGCTTGCAGCCCAAGGGTATAAAAGCCCTCGGCCGCTGCTGCCGAAGGCTGAGAGGCTAGGATTTTTAGAGAAAACAGAATAGACATACATTGGCCTCTGGTAATGGACCCAGGAATATTACCCCCTGCGCGACACCACCTGGAGGAGAGAGGCAGCCGCGCCGTTGATCCCTACTGGACCTGAAGGAAACCATGAGGAGGCACTACCAAGCCATTCAACCACCGGGGGAACAATACCAACGGAGAGCAGGGTCCGACCTCATACCTGGCTTAACCCTTATCCATGCACTAACCCTAACCCTAACCCTAACCCTACTACCTAGCTATTGGCAACGATACCTCGTAATGTTACAATATGTGAATCGCACCGATGCACATTCACGCACAGGTGCATATGGGGGGTTAGTGATAAATATGGTTGGCGAGAGATGGGCCGGAGCCCTATTTTGCGTAAGGCTCAGCGGGGAAAGATGAAGTTGGTTGTGAACGGTGGTCCAAGGCAACTCCGCCCGCAGTGCATGCATATCTTCACGCGTCTTTCAGCACAGATGGTTTCCCTCTCTCCCGCTCTCCGTACAACCAGCTTTGCGGGCCGTTAGTATGTACCTACTATGTACAGTACAACATGTACGATGTTCTATATACAGTACATACGATGTACTGTATGTCCACTCCAACATGAAAGGTCTTTCACAAAGTACGGCCTGTCCTCCGTCCACGACGGTTGGGATGCATTCGCCGCCGGCAACTTACTGTACATACTTGGCGAAAGGCAAACGATGGCATTCCATTGGTTCCACAGTCAACAACATCGTTTTTGCATTTTTCCCGACGCATAACGGCAAGCGACCCTGCCGCTGGCATGCTCACCAAAGTTAATATATAAAGGGGCTATTGTGCTCTCCTCCCCACGGAGATGCAAGTCCGAAGTACACTAGGTGGGCATTCAAGATGGTTTCCTTTTTTCGTCGTTACTTTCCCAAATCGGAACGCAATCGGCCTCGGGGGCTCGGCAAGAAAGCCAGCGTCGGGGTCATCCAAGTTAATGTCGTAAAGGGCGAACAGGTCAAAGTGGAAGGTAGGTTTATTCCATCTTGAGCAGTTGTCGGAAATGTCACTGACTTATAGTCTACCTTTTCCCAGAACGCCAACCCGTCATCCCATCCGTCGCTGAAGTGGTGATAAAGAATGAAGTCAACGTGGACAGTACGTATATCTAACGGTACCCTGCGCGCACGATGTTTCAAGGCTGATATCCTCTTCTTCGTCAGTCAATTCCACGCAGTTTATACTGTGTGGCAAATGTAGGGGCCCAGCGTCCTCCGACCCGAATGAAGTCCTTCCCGATCTCGATGTCACGGCCCGTGATTCGCAACTTGAAAAGGGACTGGGGTACGGTGTCATGGCATACGATATGCTGGACAATTGCGAAAAACTCAACACGATGATCGAGGCTTCCGAGTTTAAGGAAGTGCTGGGTTTACTCAATCAGGCCTTGAACAGCCTGGGAGAGGTTGGTTGGATGGTCGCGCATAGCCTCAACAACGAGTCCCTAAGCCATATCGCTGCTCTGCCTGGAAAAGATTCACAGCATGATCAAACCTTTCTCGCTCTTCGTCACATACGGTCTAAAGGTTAGCCTCCATGACCTGAGCTCTCGCCATACGCGACATGCATTAACGTCAATCGTCGTATTTCCCCAGGTCGCCACTGTGGAAGCTAGACAGCTTCAGATTGCCGTGCAGTTGTATGCGACAATGAAGGAAACATTGGTCGACATCATCTCGATCAAGACCGAAAAGGGCAATATTCTCCAGTTGCCCGAAGACCACCGTATCCGCAGTTGCGTTGAAGAGATGATGACAGTTGCCAAGAAGTTCATAATCGGAGTAGAGGAGAAATTCGGAGAAACCTCCGACTACAAAGGTTTATTGGAGCTCGGTTTCGTTCCATGGGAAATCCGGTGTAGTCGATCCTTACTTTTCGTCTTTTCGGATGGTCATAGGTACACACACTAAGCGGCTCATAAAGCAATTCAGCGAAGTCTTCAACAGCGAGCACGAACCCTGGCTTCAGGAGCAACTTGACGAATTCACTCGTATGAGAAAGGCCTTTTCAGCGAAAGTCAAGGTAGCCACTTACTTGAAAGTCAGCGAAGTGCACACGGCGGTCCACGGGATAGATGCCAAGGCTTCGATTATCCAAGACGATATCGCAGCACTAGCAAAAGACTTCAAGGATGTTGTCGAGGCCAGGGCTGTTGTTGAGCATATCAGCGCGATGATGGCGAAACCGATCCCGGGCATCGATCACCAGAAGGCGCTAATCGATAAATGTACTAAACGAATGGAGAAGTACCCAGACCCTCTCGAGGTATCTTTTCTCTGATGTCCATTCAGAATCTTGTTCATATTATTCAACTGACGCTGGTCTTCCCGCAGCTGCGCGACAATCAAGGGCGACGGATCATCTACTGGGCGGCGCATCACAAGCTGCCCGAAGTTTTCCGCTGGGCTCTGGAAGCCAGTGTCCCGCTTCTTCAGAAGGACGGCTTTGATCTCTTCCCGGAGGACATCCCGGAGAGTTCTTTCCTCCGGTTCACGTTGGAACCAGAGCTCCAAGTCACCTTCGCGACGATCCTAAACCGACCGGAAAACCGGCCTCTTCTGGACGCTTGGCTCAGCGACCGAAGCTCATAGCATGGCTCTACACAAAACTCAGCACGCCACACTCATACCACCAAGCGCCGCAAAAAGACCAAATCGTTTTACAATTCGCCACTATTCTCAGGAAACTCATGTACAAAGAGACCTTGGTCAAGGTTTTCAAAGCAGAGGACGCGTTGGGGTTGCTGCGTGATCACGGCAAAGCAACCCTTACTGCCGAGGACCAGGAACTCTCCCGGCTTTTGCATATCATCAAGCCGCTTGTGCAGAAGTATGGGCCGCAATGCACGGAAGGTATGTTGATCGACATCTGTAGGATTTCGCCGTTCGCATAGATGAACTCATGCTGGAGATCCATCGCGGTTGAAAGAAACGGGCTTTCAATTGGATGTCAAGGTCTTGCTGAAAGATGTTCCCTATGCCTGCCGTGACCTACGAGTTGACAGTTTGAAGCTGCATGGTACGCCTGTTTGAGGTTTGGCTGCTCTGGAGTGCCCCGATAATTCAATCTTTGAATGTGAAAATAGTGGTATTCCCGAAAATGGAGCGCCTGGAGGAAGAGGAAGAGGGACACCGCGAATTTTGTGAGAAGGCCTGTGAGGCCCTTGAGAAGCTCATCAAGAAGGAACGTATTCGCAAACTTTACCTCGAAGGTAACTTGATCATCCTTTTTGGGCCAGCCCGGATTCTCTGGACAAAGCAAATGAAACGCTCTTTCGTACGTACGTAGAATCATTTGAAAATACCAAAATCCACAACAAGTTCCCAGAATACATGGGGAAAGTCTTCACAGCCCTGGCCGGGAATACGTCCATCACCGACCTTTCGCTAGTAACGGTATCCCACTTCCTATGGCGCGCCACCCAGTCTGACGACTCGGGCATGGCTTCCCTCAAAGCCGGCCTCATCAAAAACAACTCGGTGAGAAGACTCCGCCTCGGAACCAAAGGCGCCTTCCGAGGCACCGATTTGGCACACCTCGGCGACCTCCTCGAGGAAAAGCGAACCAGCACAAAACTTGAAATGCTCACTCTCGAGGCCGCCAAGTACCCCGGGTACAGGACCCACCACATCGAAACCCTCGCCGAGGGGATCCGGTCCAGCGCCCTCGAATGCCTCGACATCCAGATTCCCATCGGCCCCGAATTCCAACACCCCCCCTCATCAAAGCCTTTCACCAGTCCTTAACCTCAACCCGTCTCGTTCACCTCACCATCAAAGGCCAATCGGGCGTCGACTTGTACATCAAAGACCTTCAGAGCTCGGACTCAAAAACCGACCCACACCAGTTCTACCACACGTCGATGTCTGACCAGCTGAAGCATGTGAGACCGGATCAGACGAACCGCTGGTGCTTGAATACGACGATGCCGGATATGGCGTTTTTCATTAGGGATGCGTTTTATGTGAGACATGGGCGGGAGAATTCGGATTGCAAATTTTGTAAGAGGACGGGACTGAGAAGGCCGGATTGCACGTTTTGTATCCAGCCGCCGATATGATGGGGTGTGGACCGCACACTAGGTTTGCTACATCACCCCGTAGCGATACCTCATACTTTCTCGATAGATATGGCATCGGTGGTCCAATTTGTTGGTGTTGTCTGTGTGCTTCGCTATTGCCGACAGCGCTGCCCCTTGAACCGAAGCGGATCATCTTGCACGCATAACCTGGGGCCTATGCCCATCGTAAAGGATTTTCCGCAGGTGGCATTTCCTGAACATCATTCAAGGGGATCCTGATGCTTGGACGATTGATGATGGCTGCATGGGTGCTCTTGCCTCCGCAATTGCTGCCGCTCAGAACGCTTGAAGCCTGAAGCCGACGTTGGAGGGCACATTGGCCTGCACGGTGTCGCAAAACCTCGCCAGCATAATTTGGAAAGTCTCTTCGGTCGCAGCCAATTCATGCAGGAAAGAGAAGTGCTGGCCTCGTCAGCAATTGAGCCGGGTAGGTTCCCGAACGAACGACGGAATCAGCTAAGTTCTATCATATCCCCTTACCACTCGCCCCCCGGGACCGCGACCGCGAGCGGTCCTCGCCCCTGAAGAAACGTTGCAAACACATCGTACTGGGTTCTTCGATCGAGTAAGTTGTCGCCAACAAGTATCATATATCCGAGGGAACATTGGAGACAAGTAACCTTCTGCGGGACGCACTGTTTGGCTATGTTATTATTGGGTCCGACTAAGACAATGCAATGTTTGAGTCAGAATGTACACTTACGTTTTGGCACCGACTTATCTGTTAAATATACCCGCATATGCCTGGTCGGTCATTCCATCCGTCATTGTGTTGAATATCTACTTGATGGAGAACGATGAGTACACGCTTACCGAGCCCATGCAGACGGTTCGCTGAGAGCTTACCACGACGTCCATATTGCGCCTGGCTGTGTACATTAGCTCAACAAGGAGCCTACCATCAGCAGGAAAGCCGAACGAAAACATTCTCAGTATTCATTGTCCTGAACGAATAGGGTCCGGCCAATCACTTATTCGTCTCCGTATTCCTCGAACAGTAGCGAGTGATTTGCAGCATATGCGCTGAGGAACTTATGCATAACTGTGCCGTCCATGGTCTCTACAATGCGGAAGAAACGCTTTGTTCGTCGCTGAGGTTCAGAATGACATTTTGAACCTTCTATGCTGACCTCGCATGCTCGTGAAACATGTCTCTGTAAGGTCGAGCACTGTTGAAGCCGGCCGTCAATCAGGTAAGATGAGAGCGCCCAGTACCGGTCGCACCGCACGCCTACCATTGATCGCCACATTACTTCCGATACTGACCGACAACATGTCGATGACTGCGAGGGTGCTATAGCTTAATACTCGAAATCACCGTGTGATGTAGGTGTGCGCGAGCGAGACTCACGAAATCCAGCAGTGTCCCGGGAACCTTTGAAGACAATGAAACTAAATGGCATCGATACGGAGAGCACGACGAGAAGCGTGACCACTTATATATTTGTGAATGCACCATGTGAGTTCTAATTGGCCGAGAACGCTCCTAAGGGCAGTCTTCCCGTCATGCGTACCTAGTAAAGCGACCGCAAAGCGACTCCTGAGTCTCCCGGAGGACGACGGTCGTCGATTCATGGCGGTTCGGCAAGGTATACGGTTCGGACACCGGCTCAGGGCTGTAAAGTGACTTGAAGAATATCGGGAAGCGATTTTCGGACAATCTTGCCTTTCATCAATATGAGAAATACTGAAACGACGGACACCGGCTCAGGGCTGTAAAAGTGACTTGAAGAATATCGGGAAGCGAGTAGAACGCGCTGTCGGATGCTTAGTCATCCACATCCCAGTTCCCGGGGTCACTGAAACCCTAAGACCGTTTGAAAACGGGAATGTCAAATACCCAAAAAGCTCATCAAGAAGCTGCCAGTGTGGGTATCATCTTGCGGCGTTGCAGGAAAGCCTGCATGTGTCAAGGGAGTACATCAGTGGCGAGTTCCTGCGTTTGACCGTTGAGCTGATGGAGTAAAAACCAATCCGGGAGACGTCAGATCGCGAACGACACCACGCTATTGAGTTCAAGAGCGTGCATAATGCCGTTGCGTTCGAGATGTCTACCGTTTTGCTGGAGCGATTATTCGATGGAGATGATCCGGGTTCTGAAGCTCGGGCATGCTGAATGAGATATCCAGCGACATGCCTTTGGGAAGGAGGTCAGAAATATTCTCGCAGAGAGCGACATCGAAGTCGTCAAATCTATCCCGATCCGGCCGTAATTCGCGTTTGTAACGGCGTCGCCGCGGACGGGGAACGGGGAATTCGTGGCCGATTGCTTCAACCGCATCGGCTGCTGTGAACGGTACACTGGTTGCTCCGCTCGCGATGAGGAAAACGGACTGCGATGGGCCGATTCGCTTCCTTCGCTCGCAAAAGATCCAAGGGCCGGTGATGCCCGCTAAGAGTAAGTGAGGAAAGTTAAACAACTCTCTCGGCTTTTCGGAATGGGGGGCAATCGAGAGGCAACCGGGAAACGATCGGATCATTTGATGCGCCGTCGAAACCATTGAAACATGCAACTCGCCTGTCAAATTTGATCTCCCGCTTCTCTCTTGTTCGCTTGCCTCTCCGGCTCACCTTCCAGAATCGCAAAGTGGGTGTGCAGGCTCTGGCGGTGGAAGATAGCTGCTCTGTTCATTTCCCTCTTCCCCTATTGTCGCTTTGTCGCTCATTGGTCGGCCGCCCTACTTCACAAAGGTCAACTTGGCTTGTTTAGCAGTAGCTGTCAGTCGGCAGAGCCAAGTAGTGCCCACTCCGTGCCATTACTCTTACACGCAAGCGGAGAACAGCTTCTCTTGAAAACACAAGCTCATCGTCCTGCTCTTACAGCATACATCATACGGCTTCCTTCCGTTTTATCCCTCGGGGCGCCGCCTGGTTCACGTCAAAATTCGACAGCTTGCAAGGACAACTCGACCGGTACAGCTCTCAACGAGCAGCTCTCGCCAGCCAGCCTTCGCCAGCCAGCCTTCATCGTTGCTTCCCTTGCCTATTCCTGATTTACAAGGGCTTGGACTGAGCCCAAGGGTGAACCGTCACGAGTTTCCTCGGCAGTCACACTTTGAGCGCCTATAGCCTCCCGACCTCGATTTTACAGTCCACACGGAGAACGCTTGCTTTACCCCTCTTGGTTCGGCGCCCAACTCGGTATGTGCGCATCCCTACTTGGCCCTGACCGTGGGGCTAACACGTCATGCGCTTACCATCCAGATTTCGGCAGCTCAAGGAAGGAGAGCGACCTACGCAAAACTGCCACGCCAGTTGCTCATATGAAGTTGTCGAGGCAGAACCCAACGACGCATATAGGTCCCCCTTCTCTACTTAAATCTGCAACTCGATTGATCGTCAGGCATCCCCAAAGCCGCATATATATCGCAGCCTTCATCTCGCACACTTCAGCTCACCTACATCGTCCATCAAACATATCAAACCCCGGTCAAAAGCTTCGTGTACGACAATGACGTGCAAATCTTGTGGCGGTTCTGATCACTCTCAACGGAACAGCAAGAGGTGTTCCTTCTATAAGCCACGGAGGAACGTCAAACTCATCAGTAAAAAAGTAAAACGTGCGAACCACTGGCGATCAGAGGAGGACAAGTCTCAGCTGACGAACCTCCTCAACACCCTGCCCGTTGAGCTCAAGAAGGACATCGCTCACTTGCTGGATCTCAGATCCATTGTGCGACTAAGTATGGTGGATCAGTTTTGGAAGAACTTTCTGAACGATGGCTTTTGGGAGCATGTCTGTCGAAAGCGTGGCTGGAAGCCAGAAGAGAGACCCTCACACCCAAAACAGCTTCGAATACTGCCTTACAAGAATCTTGTGGTCTCGTTCGTACTCAAGCGATGCGTTCTTTGTCTCCTGAGGAAAAAAGCAACGGCCTGCTTCTCCGATTCGGACCTCCTCATATGCCGCTCCTGTGGCTTTCGGGTATTCAACATAAACGTCACTGAAGCAAAGCGGGCATACATACTCAACGATTATGACTTGGAAGCAATTCCATTCATACAACTGTGGGTCCCAGCATCCCGCCGCTCCGTGCTAAGTACGTTATACTCAGAGCGAGGTGTGCTTGCTGTAGCACATAAGAAGTATGGTGGTCGAGAGGGGCTCGAGGAAGCTCGGGAAAAGTCCTGGAGATGGTCTAGGGCCATCATAAAGACCAGGGAGGCAAACGGTACAAACCGCAAATTATGGCTCAAACGGCAAGGCGATGATACTAGATATAGATGGTGGCACTCATGCTATGGATGGTAATTCCCGTTACGGCTTATGTCTCGTTTCCCTGGATTGGGATTTTACCTCGTTGTACGCACTGCTTGATTGTTCTCCCCCCATTTGTAGTTACGGCACGGCTGCCATCCTTTCCATAGTAACTTCGTAGTAGTTTGTCAGCTAGATTGTATCGGCATGCCCCCATTCCGGTATCCTACTCTCGAATCGAAAATTACGTCCAGGCCGATTCTGGTATTTTTGCAAAGCTGAAGTTTTGGACAGCGACTTCATACCTTAAATTCAAGTAGGCAAAAGGGTTTGGGATCGAGGGGTCAAGGTGGGACTTCACATCGGAGACGGTGCACATTGAGGTGTGTAAAACGTACAGTACTTAAATGTTCCAGGATGGGATTCTGACAGTGGTCCCAAAAATCGACAGCGCGTCGCGTAGCCACAGTTGCCGCTAGTTGCCGGTCTGCTGGATACAAATGGGCGAGTCGCAATGCGCACTGCCCTAACAACTTCATCCCGTACGTAGTTTCCAACTCGATTTGCTTGCCACCTGGTGGGACATGGCTCCCCTAGAAACGTCGGCATAATGGCTAGCATACATGACGGGCAGGGATCTAAGGTGGCGATAAGCTCACTTCCCTCGTCGATTGTGGAGGCAGACTTTGAAAGTCCTACTCCAGGACTACTGTACAGCGCCTTCTGGCGCCTCACAGTGGTTTCGCGATGGATGTTGTTTCGAACAGCTTAGGTTGGGGTAAGGGTTCGGGTTAGGGTTAGGATTCCTCTCGTTTCCACACATTTGTGACTGGTTGAGGCAACAAGCGCCAGGGACACTTAAACGGCGTACTCGCAAGGCCACAGCAACCCATTGCCAACAATACGATACCGCCCTTGGGTCCTGGCGTCAGCAGCACTTCGCCAGCAAGTTTCCTTGGTCCGCGCCACCACGCCTCACCATGTCAGTTATTAGCGCCGGTGCTTCCGCAAGGCAGGACGCCGGCCCTACCAGCGGCGAGGGGTTCAGCAGTCGAACCGCTCACAGCCAGCGCTCCCTCAGCTCTTTTAGCTCCCTCAGCGCTGAGGTCCTTTTCCACCTTTTTTCCTTCTTGTCGCGGGCGGAAGACTTGCGCAACGTAACCAGCACTTGTCGGCGTTTCGTCAGTTTCTTGACCACTCCGCTCCTTTATAACGCCCTTCGTGACCAGTTTGCCTCCTCTCCAAACTGGGTGGACTCGATATTGATGTGGATCAAGGGCAGCAGACTTCGGTGTCTCGAGACTACGCAATGCGATCCGGGAGACTTGCTCGAACTGGTCCTGTCCGATATTCTAAAAAGCGACGATCCGGCTATTCGGTCTGCAACCGGTCTGAGCGTCTTTGTCTTCCGCGGAGAAAAGTCCCCAAAGCTTTTGAGACAGATCCTTGAGAACCTTAGCCCGGAGTGGGAGCAGGGTCGCTTTAGCAACGAAACAGACGTTTTGCAAGCAATTGTCGACTTTAACGTCTCGGAAGAATCCCTCAGAGTTCTCGATGAATATAAGGTGCTCCGCATTCTGAACCTTTTTACTCTAGCATACAGCAATGCGAATGCGGAGAAGGTGGTCGCTGCGTTGGACAGGGGAGCGCGGCCGAGATGGAGTTTGGCGTACAAGCTTGTTGACTATCGACCTATCGTTGATTTGATGCTGCGGCACGGCCTGGCGATCGATTTTCACGCCTTCATTTGCGCGGGCGAGAATATTGATGTAATTGAATATTTGTTCGATCGCCTTGCCAGCTCCGGCTCTGCAGTCGACCCCAGCGTGCTCGCTCCGGCGTTCATCAGAGCGTGTGAGCGTCGCGACGTCCCCGCAGCGGAATGTTTTCTGGCCCACGGAGCGGACATCAACCTCGGATCGATCGAAGAAGGTGTACTAGCGCCGCCAATCTCATACGTTCTGGCGAAACGTGACCCGTGGGACTTTGTGGAGTTCCTGCTGGCGCGCGGATCACCGTGAATCACCCCAAGGTTCTGGCGAATGCGGTTTACACCGGAAACATGGCCTGGATCGACCGGTTCCTGAAGATGGGCGCTCCGATGTCCGCCAACGCGTGTCAGGCGACCATGAAGAAGAATTGCCCGCAACCGGAGCTGTTCCGTAAACAGTTGCGGCTGACCTGGTCCGCGGTGAGGAATGGGCATCTGCAGTTTCTGCAACGGGGGGCTCTCCATGCGGAAGCGATCGACCATGCTCCAAATCACACGGAACGAGCAGCACATATTGGGCGTCAGCATGGCAGAGGACATCTGGTTTTCTCAAAGGGTGACCAGCTTCCCTGGCGCAACGATTCCCAACCGGACGATCGCGGCGGAGTTTTCAGTGGGCGCGACATATCACCCACGGCCATTTGGGATGCACCAGCCTAGATTTGCTATGCAGTTTCAGAAATACAGCAGAGCGCAGCTGAACTTGCTATTACAGTGGTGTAAGCACGTTTCCTGCTGCGTTTTACTTGACGCTATCCCTCAACTAAAATTGTCCTTTCTTCTTCGCCCATCCCCCAATATAGGCCCGGTAAGCTCTTGATCCTTTTCGCCGGCCCATCTTTCCCACTATGTTTCCTTATTCTTCTCCTGCGTGGTCAAACAAATCAGGAAGCGGTTATGGCTGGATGGCCATCAATCATTTTGAGCAAGTTCCGGACTGGGACGCGGTCCCGTCTTAAAGCCGGCCTGGCAGCGTCTTAGAAATGGCCATGATTCTCATTTGGCCACAAGTGACGCTTCTCTTGCTGCGGTAACGTCTGACCCATGTTAGGTTTAGGATTGGCTTAAGAACATCTGGACAATGATGTAGCGTCACATGGACTCCGTTCGGAAGGTGCTTTGTAGGCTGTCGCCATTCTAGTTGTGGTGAATTTCTCAGTGTTGACGAATACTTCCCAATCTGAAGGAACCTGAGTCGTAGGGCTAAAAGGGCGCTCCCAGAAGATAAGCTCAATTCACACCATCACCCACCCCCCTCGGCATTAGCCATTATAATAGCTCTCGCTCAAAAAGAGATAGACGGGAAGGAGGGGGGATAGGGATGGGGATGTATTTATACTGTATATCGCTCGAGTGAAAGAAAAGAAGCTTAATAAGCACAACCTTCTCCTATCCATTGAACTCATGAACTACGTTCCTCGTCCAGAGCATAAACCCACTAAACTGCACCCTTACCGTTTTTTTTGACACACAGCTATCACGGCAATCACCGCACTGCAACACCTGGAGATCTGGGGATCGGGAGAACAACAGTGATTGCGACACGTCGGCATCACAAACCAGGTAAGGACAAGAATCAACAGAGGGGAGTGAGCACTGAGCAGGGGGAAGGTGAAAAGAGCGGACTACCCTGCCCAGATGGTTTCGTGCACATGGCACATGCAACCACTGTCAGCAGCCCTTGGGTTCGCGCATATCGCGTATGCACCTAGGGGTTGAAGGGGAGAGGGAGAGAGAGAGCTCAGATGGAGAGAGAGCAGAGGCCGGCTAGCGCGCAACACATTTGAGTTAACTTCTGGTCTACCCGGCCTCCTGGAATCTAGATGGGTTGCCCGAAGACTGCAGCGGGAGGAGGAGGCGGTGGTGGTGGAGGAGGCCGCGGTAGAGGAGCCGCGGTAGAGGAGGCCGTGGTAGCGGCTACCACCCTCATGCCGATGAAGACGATTACGACGAGCAAGACGACGAGCAAGAGGAAGAAGACGACGAACATGACGATATTGAGGCCGAATTCGACGAGCTCTTCGAAGCGCAAGTCCGGAATGACATAATCCAGGAAGAAGACGACGATGACGACGAAGAGGAGGAGTACGGAGTGGGAGGGCATCACGGTCATGGACAGCCAGCTACCTTCGTCCCCGAGTTTCGGCCGGGTTAGGGTTAGGGTCCGCCCAAGCGTCAGTGTCCGCCCATCTATCCACCCAATACGCCGTACCAATATCTACATAGTGTACTCCCAAACCTTCCTCCCCATCCAAAAAGCCGCAAGCAGCACTATCCCCGTCCACTGCACTCCCACACCCGCAGCACCCGCCTCATAAGACCTGAACGGCGTATCAGAAAACGCCATGATAGAACGAAGGCGAATTGAAGCTGGCGGCAGGCCTTGAGCCGCGGTTAACGCGGTAATATCAAAACACTCAGTCGACTGGTTTTGCGCCTGCGCGTAGGCCTTTGCGACCTCATCCCAGACCCAGGAGGGCTCAGTAATCGTAAAATTCGCGGCCGGTTGGGTGGCAGTACATTTAGAGTCCAACCAAACAGCGAGGGTCTTCTGGTCTACGAGTTTCACTGCGACGGGGTAACTTTTGATGGGTGGCGAAAAGATGTCGGATTGGACGGTGGTGGTGTAGCATCGGGCAGTGTCTGAGGACGGTAGAGGCGGGGCAGAAGGCAAGGGGATGTCGATTGGGGCAAACGGATTGTGGGAGTCTGAGCTGGCGGGGCCGTCGGTGCAGTTGTGGGACTGGTGGATTTCCACCATTGTGGAGTTTTGTTCGTACATTGTATTGGCTTTTGGAATGGCGGGGTTGGGTGGAGATGGGTATACTGCCCTGGCGGTTCAAGGGCTGTTGGCGAGGCTGCAGGCGGGCGGACTCGCGCAATAATAAACGCCCATCTCCCATAGTCTGTAGTCACGTGGCGCAGTCTGTTGAATGGTTTCCAGCTCCAAACGCACCCTCCTCGTCCAAAGACTCTATATCTAGAGGACGACGTTCCTCGTCCAGAGCACAGTGGAATGCATCGATGCGTGCGTCTCCAGGCAATGCGGAGGTATATAATACGCCATCAGGGTACACTCCAGGATGGCCGAAGCGCCGTCAAGCAGAGCGTAAAATGCGCCGGGTTGAAAAAGCGACAGCGCCCTCCATCGTCATATCGCCCGTAACGGCCCATTTCCACACATTCATTCCACACCACACATTCATTCCATCCATCCGTCCATCCATCCATCGACTCATCGAGAATGCAAATGGGGACTCGAGTGGAGTGAGTGGAGTGAGTAGCCGTAAGGTCACGCGACGCTTAATTTCAACATCAACTGACCTCGACGCGGGCGGGAGTCACGCGCGCGCCGCTCGCAATACAATCATGTGATTAATTCCACAATCGGAGACTGGAATCATCAATCCATGGAAGGACGAGGACAGTGGATCCCATCCCTCCCTTTTCTACACTTCAAACCCACGACCCGGGATACCCTCCATAATATGTGTATATACCCCCCTGCCGCACAGCTGTCGCCCGTAGATGTCGTATCCATCTTAGCGGTAGCAACTAGATATAGTACTTAGCAGCAATATGTGATGACTCGCTCGGGTACCCTCCAGCCATTCGCATTACGGCAGATATCTACGCGTCCATCTCTACTCTCCCTATATTCCATCCTATTGATGATTCATTGCGCCTCTTCTGATGAGCCAGCCAGCCAGCGGCGGAACCACCTTGGGAAGGAACCGAGTCGTTGGTCTCTATGACAACTCCCCCTTGTGGAGACCCGCTCGGAAAGCGGATAACTCCTCCACTTTGAATGCAACGCCGCCATACACCCACTCTCGTACTGTCCATACATCAACCCGTACCGCACGATAATATATTGCGGTGTACGTATACCTCACAAAGAGGGCTTGACATTGGGAGGAGACGGACGAAGGATTTGCATCGTAGTATTATAGTCATAATAGGAGACGTTCGGAGACCCGCCCGCCGGAAAGTTACATAAACCTTGCGCTTCTTCAACAACCCCCGCCGGCCCCCCACGTCGTTTGAGTGAACCCTTCGACAAAGATGTCCCTCCCGTCTCCCCTCCAACCCCCGCAGATCCCCCTCCCCGCCGTCCCCTCCACCACCGCCGCCGAACTCCACCACCACCACCACCAACACCCCTTACAACAACCTCCTTCCCCACTCTCACCCCCTCGCAAGGTCCGTGAGTCCCAGGAGTCCCGCGACTCCCGCCAACAAGAACGCGGCCGTCGTCGGAGGGAGGATTCCGGGTTTGTGGGCGATTTCCCTCCTGACAAGACTCAGGTCCAACAACATGTGGAGTATCAGCGCCAGCCGAGGGAGCGGAGTTTGGGACCAGGGCCACAGGGAAGGCGGAGTGGTCAACAACAACAACAACAACAAGTAGTACAAGTACAACTACAGCAAGCATTTTATGAGCCCTCGCAACACACACACTACAACCAGTCCCAGTCCCTGCCACCCACGCCCATCGAGCCAACACCCACCACAAAAGTCCTCCTCGCCCAACAACAACAACAACAACAGCAACGGAACGGGAGGCCGTATGAGAATGGCTTCTCGGCGGTTTCGCTCGATGCGTTGATCGAGGACTTGGAGGGGACGATTTTGAGTTTGGAGGGGGCGGGTGGTGAGAACAGGGGCCGGGAGCCGCGGGCACGGGGGCAGCCCCAATACCAGCAGCAGTACCAACAGCAATACTACGAGCCTACGCAACAGTACCATGAACCTGCGCATCAACCGCAGCAGCAGTACTACGACCCCGCGCAATACCAACAGCAGCAGCAGCAACAACAACAACGTCCGCATCGCACCCCGGCTGGTCCGCGGGGCGCTCCACCATCCTCGGCACCCCCACCCCCGCCACCCTCCGGCCGCAACAGCCACGAAGCCCACAACCACCCCCATCAAGCGCCAGCCGCCGCAACAAACGGGTACCCCACCCGCGTGCACCACACCCGTCAAAACTCCACCACCACCAGCACCGTCAGTTCCACCTCCGCCACCAACCCCATCAACAACACCGACATCGCCGTCCACCCGTCCCCACCCAGCACACCCCCCCTCTCCACCTCCCCCTTCGCAACCGCAACCTTCTTCACCCCAACCAAAACCCTCGCCACCCTCTCCACCCTCTCTTACGCGCGCTCCGGCTGCATGTTCAAACACACGCCGGGGGGTATCTTCTCCTCCAAACCGACCTGGAAAGACCGCTTCTACGTGCTCGCATCCACCCACCTCTACCTCTTCAAATCCGAAACAGGCACCCAGCCGGCAGGGATCTACCTCCAACTGTCTGAGAGCTCCACGGTGTGCGTCTCCGAGATGGGGATCGGCGTGCTGGAAGTCTCCGGGCGGGAGTACGCCACCCTCGAGTCCGGCGAGACGGCCCCCACCGACGCCCTCCCGACCACCTGGATCCTGCAGTGCGCCTCGCAGGACGATATGATGGCGTGGCTGGCGGCCCTGCGGTGGACGGTGGCCCACGTCGGCGGGATTAGGGCGAGGGCCGAGGAGGAGGAGGCGGCGTATGTGCGCGCGAGGGAGGAGAGGGAGGAGAAACGACGGAGGGAGATTGCGAGGAGGATCGAGGAGATGGGGAAGGTGAAGATGGGGAAGGGGGGCACCCCGTTTGCTAGTTTGCCCACTTATTAGGAGGGGCGAAGACTGATTTCAAAACACCCCCTCATTGGCGTGATTACATATCGTGAATCCCGTGCGCTGGGACGCATCGGGCCTCTGATCATCCTGTACATATCCAAGTTTGGCACACACGCTCCCTTCATCAATACAGTACATAACCCACCGCCGTCATGACTCCATCTTCTCCCCATCGGTGGAATCGCTTGCACATCGGGATGTTCCAAGTCCACCAGTCCGCGGTTGTTCATCACCTCCTTCGCCCACGCAAAAAATACATCTCCTCCCAACCACGGATCACCTCCCCCTCTCCCGCTCCTCCTCCAACTCAACCTCCCGCAACGCCTCCTCCCACGTCCGCACCCGTCTCCCATTCCTCCTAATATACTAAAACAAAAAAGTCAGCCCCCCGTTCAGTTCACGTGTGTTTGGAGTGGGTGGATGGCTCACTCACCTCCTTGGTCTCCTCCAACGTGGTGTAGGCGAACGAGCGCGAGGGGAGGGCGGCGACGGCGGTGTGCGCCGCGACGTAGGTTTGGATGTAGCTGAGGTGGGTGGTCATCAGGTCGCGGAGCGTCGTCAGGTTTGCGTCTGTGTCCACAAGGGGAGGGGGGTTAGTGGGTGTGCATTGTGCTGGGGAGGGGGGCGCGTACCTAGGGATGATGGTGGCGGGATGGGAATCGAGACGGGGGGAGATGAGGTTGTGGTGGGACGTGGGGGGGGGCTCCGACTCCGACCCCGACCCCGCGGCTCCACGGGGGCGGGACTGCCCCCCGACGTCGATGTGGAGCGGTGGGACGTCGCGCGGGACCGTGAGCGGGACGGTGAGCGGGGTGCAGCCCATGTCTCGCCTGGGTCTTCGTGTGCATGGTGGTGGTGGGTGTGCTGTTGATGGTGATCGTGGTGGGGGTGGGGTGTATGGTGATTCCTTCGCCGACTCCGACTCCGCGCTTGGTCCTCCCTTCCACATTCCCTGCACGCCTCCCTCTGCGTCGGTCCCCACGCATTGCACGGTGGGTGTGGGGCATAGGGTGGGTAGATGTATGGTTGCGGGTGGGGTGGGTACGCGTGTTGATGTTGATGTTGGTGATGGTGATGTGGGAAGGGGGGGTAGGCGTAGTAGGGATGGGGGTAGGGGTATGCGTAGGGTGGGTATGGGTATGGGTAGTACGGCGCGGGTGGGTCCGTGGTCGGTTGTGCTGCTGCTGGTTGTTGCTGTTGTTGTTGTTGTTGTGGAGGGGAGGGTTTAAAAACCGGGGGTGGGCGCGGGATGCGTTTGGGTTGTTGTGAGATCGGTTCAGGTGGCGAGAGTGGTGGTTCGGAAGGGGTTGCGATGGGCTTCCCCGATCCCACCGTGGGCGGCGCTGGCGACGGCAGTTCCGGCCCCGGTTCCGATCCCATCTGCGCTGCGAGCTCGTCTTCTCCCCTCGGCTTGGATGGCGGTGTGATCTCCTCCGCCCGTTCAATCTCCGATTCCCGCTTGGGAGGTCCGATCCCACCACCACCCTCCTCGCCCGCCTCATCCACATCCCCCCCCTCCCGCAACGTCGTATCCCCGCCCACCCACCCCTCATGCTCCCCCCGCGACGTCTCCGCAAGCTCCTCCGACGGGTGGTGTATCTGTATCCGCTCCTGTTCCGTCGCAGTAGGGTGTTGTGGCTGGATGGGGTTTTCGAGAAAGTCATACGAGGGTTCTGAATGTAGAGGAGGTGCGTCGTGGGCTTGGTCTTCCGCCCGGCCGGTAAGGGAGACGTCGATGTCTTCGAACTCTTCGTCGGAGTAGCGGGGCGTTGCGGGGTCGGCGGTGGAGGTGACGTGGGAGTCCGGGTCGGCTTCCTCGGATTCGGTGGAGTGGGCTTCCCTCTCGTCGGGATCCTCGGCGTTCGCGTCACCCCCACCCTCATCCCCGGCGGCCTGACCCACCTCCACCGACTCCGCACCGCTCCCATCTTGGCCCTGAATCTCCTCCGCAACCCCGCTCTCGTCATCCCCCCCACACGCACCCTCAATCGCCTCGCTAATCTCCTCCCCACTCCCCGCCAAATCCGTCTCGATCTCCTCCGCGACGGAGTCCGTGAAATCGCCGTGGGAGTGGGTTGATATGCGGGAGGGTTCGTCCGTGTCGTCTTCGGGTGGTGGTGGTGGGATTGTCCTCGAAGGACCGGGAGGCGGGGTCTGGGTGGTGGTGGATGGGGCGAGGTCGGCGACGGTGAGGGGGGTGTCTTTCCGCATCGGAGTCGTTGGTGCGGACGATGCGGGTTTGCTTGTCACGGGTATCGTCTCCTGCGCCGGCTGTCCGGCAGACCTCACACCCACCGGGGACGTCTCCCTCGACTTTCGGTGGTTTCCCTTCCCGCTTCTCAAAAACCCTTCGAAATCACTCCCCACACTTCCTTCGCTGCCCACGCTCCCCGTCACGCTCCCCGTAACGCTTCCCGTGCTCCCCTGACTCGCGCGGCGTCGCATCGCCTCGGCTCGCCGGCCGAGGATCTCGCGATCGATGCGCGAGCGGGCGAGGAGGGCTTCCATGCGTTCGATTGCTGTGGGCTGGGTTGGGCGGGGACGCGGGGGGGAGAGCGGGGACGGGCGCGGGGGGGTTGTTGGGGTGGGTGTAGATGTTGGGCGGGGTTTAAGGTAGGTTGTTGGTGTTGTTGGTGTTGGGGTGGCGGTGGCGGGACGGGGTTTGATTTGACCGGGACCACTGCGTTGCGGTGGTTTGTCACTGTTGCTTCCGAGCGATTGGAGGTAGGCTTTGAGTTCGATGTCACTGTCGTCGCCCGTACTTGTCTCCCCACCGGCTGCCAAATCGCCTACCCTGCGAGATGAAGAGAGAGAGAGACAGAGAGAGGGTTAGATCGAATGAACAAGCGAAGGGATGGATGGTTGGTTGGTTGCCGCTCGCGACGAGGACGTTGCAATCCTGCGCCCGCGCGCCTACCTTACCTCGCTGGACCGCCACCGACCAACCCTCTCCTCAAACTCGCAGGACTGCCCTTCAGACTACTCCCACCCCCCTTCGGACTCGCCGCCCCACTCCACAGCGCTGGCGGGGTGTTGCTCCCCACTCGCTGCTCCCTGTTTGCCCTCTCATCCTTCAGAAACGCCTGAGCGCGTTCCAAGGCAGATGTTTTTCCCGGGTACGTCGGTGGACGTGTTGTGGTTGTTCTTGTTGCTGTTGTTGATGGGGAAAAGGGCGGTAATGGGAATGCGTCGGAGGTGGATGGGGGCGGCGGATTGCGGGATGGACGTGGGGAGGAAGTTGGCTGGTTAGTCTTTGTTGGAGTTGAAGTTGAGCGGAGGTAGGAGGAGGCTCTGGAGGGGTCTGCCATTGGGGGCCCTCTTTCTCTTTCCAAGCAAGTGCGGGGGAGGAAGAGAAGCGGATGTGAACGGCTCTATATTATTGGAGAGCGGGTTGTGAACGACGAGCGGAGAGTCTCTCTAACGCGCTGTCGAATGTCTCTGTAAAAACAATAAAGTGCGCTCTTTCCACGTGACTGCACATGACTTGCAAATAAAAGGGGCGGAAAGCACACCCCTATTCTCGCTCCTACTCCTATTCACCCTCCTATTCTCTCTCCTACTCCATTCCTACTCCCGCTCACGACAAAGAGAACCACCACCCCCCCTCCCAACTACACTACACTCTCTCTCAGCACCCACCAAAGCGACATCCAAAAGTATCAACGGAACCTCGCCCTCTTATACCCCCTCACCGAAGCGTGGTGATCCCACCCTGTCGTACATGCCGAGGGTGAAACCTGTATTCCCGTGTCCGACAGGTGGAGTGAGAGGATGGATGGGGAGTACTTGCAAGCGTTCACAAAAACATAGACCTCTAAGTGCGTAGTTATGGGAGGCAAGCTGCATGCATGGGCGGTTCAGAACACCTGCGGTCCATGCATGCGCGCCTACTCGCTCGTCGCCCGTACTTTCGGCGCAACATGGGAACGGATCCTCAACAGCACATACACATTCATCGACTGGCAGGCCGCACCATCTGGTTTATATCGGACCCGGAAACATCAACGCTGGCGCACACAATCATCTCATCCATTCGGACGCACACACATCCACCTGGCGTACCTGGCATGCACATACAACATCGTTGCTGATGATTTGATTACAAGCGGCCGCCCATCACAATCCGCATTTCATAGAGCTATGGCATATCAGGGTAGGAGTTTGGGGGGTTTTGGAGTAGACGTATGTAGCGGTCGTGTAGGTTTCGGAAATGAGAACGTTTGAGAACATTGAATTTACTTTTTGGTTGGCATTGAACGATGGGGTTGGACGCAGAACCAGAACAGGTCTGACCGAACGCAGGAGTTTGGCCAGCATCTCCCAAATCGCATGTCGCGACCCGTCCACACCTTCTAACTGTCATGCAAGTTCTTCGTCGGTTCTCGTGCCCTACACGTACGCAACAGCGGAAGGCGAGCGCTACCATAGGCGTCAGGCATTGCATTTGCTTATGCATGACCTCTCTGTACGGAGTTGGATCCAATGAATTCAGAACGGGACGAGCTTCGGAGGGTCAGATGCCGTCCGTTGGGGTTTGCCGCGTTGGACTGTCAGAACAGGAGGGCTGCCATGGGCTTCATGAGGACTTTCAGTGGGCTTTGACGGATTTCCCGTCGGACGTCCCAAACGGTGCGAGCAAGCACACGAGCCGTAGAATTTCATTCTGGAGTCTTAATGTGCAGGCCGGACTGCGTACAGTATCAGCGAACGTAAACATTCCCTCAGGAGACGTTACCACAGGCCTCATGAACACTTTCTCAGCCCACGGATGTACAGTCTTGCACACGCATTGAATGGGTGATGCAACTTTGCCCGTGGCAGTCACAAGGAGCGATTTGCGCCGATTGGACTCCTCATGCCATTTGAAACTGTGCACAAGAGGCGCGCTACCATGGGATCTCACAGAGGTAAACATTCTATTTCCTCAGCCCGTGGATATGTAATCGGCGTCTGAGGTTGTGCTGCTCAGCCCATGCAAGACACCAGGTTTCGAGGCGCACATGTTGAGTCCGTGCTTTGCAAGCTTGGCGCTACCAAAGCACATCATCCGAGGGTTTGCATCGATTGACGTCCTTAATACAATCCAACCCGGGCCGAAGGAGACGCTACCATGGGCGTTCTCGAACGAAGCCCATGACTACAAAACGAACGTTGAATTCATGCTTCCAAATCTCGAAGCTATTGTCGGGACGGCCCGTCCCTGGCCCATTCTCCGTGGCGTCTAGCATGGCTACAATCTAATCCATTGCAAGGAGGAGGCGCTACCATGGGCTTCGTCCAACCTGAACGTTTTCCTTGGAGGCCTTCAGAACGTATATTGAAATCTGTACTTCGAATTCTCGAATTCTCGAAGCTACGACACAAACTGGCCCGCTCCGTGGCTTACCTCGCTACAATACAATGCATTAAGACTGGAGGCGCTACCATAGGGGAATTCATGAACTTGAACAGTCCATGCCACGACCCTACAATGGACATGTCGCAATTTCCCACCGCCCCATAACACGTTGCCCGGGGGCGTCGAGCTGATTGGATCTACATGCACAATGCAGTGAGGGCCATACATGCACAATTCAATCAGGGCTACCGTGGGATTTGAGAACTATGCCCTTTTTTTCCTCAGCCTTTCGATGGCGTATTCCAGAGGTCTGGGGTATCGCTTAACAAACGAGGCTATTTCGACAGCTCACGGACTGCGCCACACCAACTCCGCCCATGGTGACTCCGATTTTGACGATGTTTGACAGTACGCCTCCCTCGAAGGGCAAGCTAGAACGCCTTATACTTCGCAGAGACCTAAATGCGGTAAACACTGCACAGAAAACCACTCGGAGAATTCTTTTTCCCTGCACGAAGCTCCATGCATTCCGCACCGAGTTTGTTAGAGCGCCACATTCGCCCCCTCAGGCCCGGCCCCATCCCGGCAGCAGTGAACAAAAGCAGAGACCAGATTGCGGCCCCCCTCCTCCGGCTTTCCCTTTTCTTTTTCTCGTCCTCCACACTGTTGTCTTTCGATCACACGAGAGAGAAGAACCCGTAGGCACACCGAATCCACCTCTCTGAGAAGATTCACTTCGCTTTCAAACGTTCCGATTAACAACATCCCCGTTGCGACATCTCTCGAACTCCAACCCGAAACTTTCGAAAAGAAACTGCAAGGAATTCATCACAATGTCTTCTTACCCGAACCACGGAGCAAGCTCGTCCACTTCCGGCAGCCCCTGGGGCGACGCTGGTAGCTCCCGTGCTCCCCCCAAGATCTCGCGTGGTCCCATCATCACCGGGACAGACCACTCCCGCCTCAAGGCGACGGTTCACACCGTGAGCGATGACGAGATCAGGGAGTTCACCAAGCATGTCAATGAATGCTTGAAAGGTGACAAGAGCTTGGGTGAGTTGACTTGCCGTCCTTCCTCCACTGCACTACCTTGAGATTCCTCGCCATTTGGGGGGTTTCTCGGGGAAGTTTTGTGGCATCATCGTCTCCTCCCTACCCAACGTTGAAATTCTCCCTCCGGGTGGTTTTTCGAGTTGCGGTTGGTTGGGCGGTGGCATTGGAAAGTCTGCGATGCCCTCTTTCATTTGATACCCGACACTCTGCTAATCGTCGTCTCCCCTTCTCTACTTCTTCTTCGTCGTCGTCGTAGCCGGTCGTTTGCCCTTGGACATCGACAGCCACGATCTAATTCCTGAAAGCAAAGGTATGTATCCCCGTCTGTTGCCAGTTTCGTTCCCCTTGAATTGCCTGGCGGTGTGCTTTGTTTTTGCTCGTCGTTCAGTCTTCTGATTTGTACCATTTTACTCATCGTCTATTTTCTTTCATATTTCTCTGATATTAGGTTCGTATCTTGACGTGGGTGCTCGGGTATATCCGTGTTCTCATGTTGTGGTTCTTCAACCACCATCCCTACACCTCCTTTACCATCTTCACCTTTACTTCCACATCTCCCACTCCTACTGTACTCTCACTTGCATGTTTCCACCTCATCATTCACTCCCTTCATTTCCGTTCTTTTCCTTTCTCATCTTCATAATGTCTGCGGTTCGTTCGCTTTGTTTCTCATCCCTTCCTCCTCCCTTCCTTCCTTGGCTTCTTTCCGTACACTATCATCTCTTTCCTTCACCTTCCTTCGCTTTGATTCATGGCGGGTCTCATGGCTTTGATTCACTTCTTCTCCTTCCTTCCCTGTTCACCTTCTCACTTCACATCGCGCCATAACTTAAACTGATCAAAATTCGCTTTCTTTCGTCTCATTTCACAGATGGTCTCATCTTCGCCAAGCTCATCAGCGACGTGCGTCCTAACACGATCAATTTCATGCGCTTCACAATTAAAAAGAAGATCAGCGTCTACGAAGCCAATGAAAATCTCGATCAAGTCATCGACGCTTGCAGGCGCCTTGGGCTTGTTGTTGTCAACGTTGGCCCTAAGGTATGCGTTCCAATATGGTCGTTTCTTCCCCGCATCCTTCGCCTTTGCGAGTACCCCTCGACTCCGGGGTCACATTCTTGGATTCCGTCTTTGCATTTGTCTTGATTCTGATCATCGTCTTTCTGTTTCTCTTTTACCATCTCAGGACTTTATTGAAGAACGGGAACATTTGATTCTTGGCCTCTTGTGGCAAATCATTCGCATCGGCATGGCGGATGCGCTTACTGTCATTCTGGAACCTCGACTCGTGCACGTCCTCGAAAAGCAAGAGACTGTTGAAGACCTTATTAACTCCAGCGCTGAGCAAAATCTGATTCGCTGGGTGAACCACCACTTGAGGATGTCCGGCCAGACGACCCGTCGTCTGACAAACTTCTCTACTGATCTCAAGGTATGTGTTCGGTTGCCTTGATTGCACTCCGTCGTTCCTTTTGCTTCTTGCATGTTTTGGAAAGCATGGACTAATGTACTCGTTCCGTTCCTTCTCCGCCTCGTAGGACTCTGTTATCTTCTGCTACTTGATTGTAGCCTTGTACCAGGACTTTGACCCCGCGTACATTCTTGAGGAACAGGACGTCGCTATTCGTGCGATAGCGGTAAGTCAGACATGCGGTAAACCTTTATGCTCTACGTGCGCACGTTCAACGCATCTAATAAAACTGCTATTTCACATAACATCACAGATCGTTGAAGCATGGTCGACATACGGTCATACCCGATACCTTACATCGTCGGCAATTCTATCTGGCAACAGCAAGTTGAACTTCGCGTTCCTTGCGAACGTGTTCGCCGAGAACCCATGCCTGCCTTCGATAACGCACCAAGAGAGCTTACACATCGAGCGTGCTCTGTCCACCGCGACCCTCGGCATCTCTGAGAAGTCTTTGATTGCAAGCGGTATGGCGTCACTTAGTATCAGCAAAGGCAAGGCGGTGGTCGGTAGAAGATCCCGCCTTGGGGCGGGCGAACCGACCGGTTACCGTCCCGGGGATGATGAAGACGAAACTACCACGGAGAGCCGACCTCAAGAGATCGACGACGTCGCTAAACCAACTAGTCATCCCAGCCTGGTCAAGAAGGCCCTATCCCTCTCGTGGGCCATGGTTGCCCGACGCGGTTCAGAAAATGGAGACAGCCGCCGTGCATCCGCCACCTCTGCGGTTTCAAAGTCGTCTCGTCAGGGTTCGGAGGCCGAAACCGGTCGAGGTCTCAAGATATTCTCCAACGCCTCGCGTCGTGGTTCCGATTCCCGTACAAGTTCTTCCGGCGATGACGAAAACGCTCGACGACGTAGCGTGGCGGAGAAAGACGCAAGGCAAGCTGCTGCCCAAATTGAAGCAGATCAAAAGGCCCAAAAGAAGAAGGACGCTCTCGCTGCGAAAGAAGCTGCGAAAGCTGCCAAGGAGGCGCTAGAGAGAGACGCTCTCGCTGCGAAAGAAGCTGCGAAAGCTGCCAAGGAGGCGCTAGAGAGAGAGCTGAAGTCTGAGCAGGAGGCCGAAGCTGCTCAAAGGGCCCAAAAGAAGAGGGACGCTCACGCTGCCAAAGAAGCTGCGAAATCTTCCAAGGAGGCTTTAGAGCAGGACCTCAAGTCTCAGCAGGAAGCCGAAGCTGCTCAAAAGGCTCAAAGAAAAAGGGACGCTCTCGCTGCCAAAGAAGCTGCGAAATCTTCCAAGGAGGCTTTAGAGCAGGACCTCAAGTCTCAGCAGGAGGCAGAAGCTGCTCAAAAGGCTCAAAGAAAAAGGGACGCTCTTGCTGCTAAAGAAGCTGCGAAATCTGCCAAGGAGGCTTTAGAGCAGGAGCTCAAGTCTCAGCAGGAGGCCGAAGCGGCTCAAAAGGCTCAAAAGAAAAAGGAAGCTCTCGCCGCCAAAGAAGCTGCGAAATCTTCCAAGGAGGCTTTAGAGCAGGACCTCAAGTCGCAGCAGGACGCCGAAGCTGCCCAAAAGGCTCAAAGAAAAAGGGACGCTCTCGCTGCTGAAGAAGCTGCGAAATTCGCCAAGGAGGCTTTGGAGCGAGATATCAAGTCGCAGCAGGAACAGCAAAAAGCTCAGCAGGAGGCCGAAGCTGCTGAAAAGGCCCAAAAGAAGAGAGACGCGCTAGCGGCTCAAGAAGCTGCGAAAGCTTCCAAGGAGGCACTGGAGCTAGCCCTGAAGCTCGAACAGGAGGACGCGAAGCAGGCGAAAGCTTTGCAAAAAGCTCAAAGACGGCTGGAGGAAGAACAGCAGAAGGCCGCAGAGAAAGCGGCGAAAGAGGCTCTTGAACAAGAGTTGATAAAGTCCCAGCAAGAGGCTGAAGCCCAAGCGGCAAAGGACGCGATAGACGAAGAGCGGCGGGCTCAGGAGGCTAAAGAGGCAAAAGCTTTGGCAAAAGCCCAAAAGAAGCAAAAGGCTGAAGCGAAGGCACAGCAAAAGGCTGACGCTAAGGCCTCAAAAGAAGCGCTGGATCAGGAGTTGAGGTCAAAGCAGGAGGCGGACGCAAAAGCGGCGAAGGAAGAAGAGCTGCGGGCGAAGGAAGCAAAGGCTTTGGCAAAAGCTCAAAAACAACAAAAGGCTGAAGCAAAGGCACAGCAAAAGGCTGACGCTAAGGCCTCAAAAGAAGCGCTGGATCTGGAGTTGAGGTCAAAGCAGGAGGCGGACGCAAAAGCGGCGAAGGAAGAGGAGCTGCGGGCAAAGGAGGCAAAAGCTTTGCAAAAAGCTCAGAAGCGCCTAGAAGACTCGAGTAAAGCGCAACAAGAAGCGGAGGCGAAAGCCTCAAAAGAAGCGCTGGATCAGGAGTTGAGGTCAAAGCGAGAGGCCGAGGCCAACGCGATCAAGGAGGCCTTAGAGCGACAGCTGCTCTCTGAGCAGGAGGAAGCTGAGCGGAGAAAAGCTGAGCTGAAGGCGGAGCGTGACGCGATTGCCCAGGGAGCAAAAGCTCAGATTCGGCTTGAAGTAGAAGCCCGGCTGCAGCAGGAAGCGGAGGCGAAAGCCTCCAAAGAAGCTCATAAGCGAGCACTCAAGGCTGAGCAGGACGCTGCTGCGGAAGCAAAGCGGTCGCAGAAAGGGCTGCAGAGAGAGGAGGCTGAGCGGTTGAGGGTGCAGCAAGCGGCTGAGGAGGAGGCAGCCGCTGAGGAATCCAGGCGTCAAGAAAAAGCTTCCAAAGAAGCTCAAAAGCGAGCTCTCAAAGCTCAGCAGGACGCTGCTGAGGAAGCAAAGCGCTCGCAGAAAGGGCTGCAGAGAGCGGAGGCTGAGCGGCAAGCCGCTGAGGAGGAGGCAGCCGCTGAGGAATCCAGGCGTCAAGAAAAAGCTTCCAAAGAAGCTCAAAAGCGAGCACTCAAAGCTCAGCAGGACGCTGCTGAGGAAGCAAAGCGCTCGCAGAAAGGGCTGCAGAGAGCGGAGGCCGAACGGCAAGCGGCTGAGGAGGAGGCCGCAGCTGAGGAATCCAGGCGTCAAGAAAAGGCTTCCAAAGAAGCTCAAAAGCGAGCACTCAAAGCTCAGCAGGACGCTGCTGAGGAAGCAAAGCGCTCGCAGAAAGGGCTGAAGAGAGCGGAGGCTGAACGGCAAGCGGCTGAGGAGGAGGCCGCAGCTGAGGAATCCAGGCGTCAAGGGAAAGCTGCGAGGGACGCACTCGAGCGCGAGCTGAAGACTCAGCAGACCGCGGCTGAGGCAGCTAAGCGCTCGCAGGGCCTCGAGAAAGCCGAAGCAGAGCGGCTGAGGGTACAGCAAGCGGCTGAGGGGGAAGCCGCGGCTGAGGAATCCAGGCGTCAAGGGAAAGCGGCGAAGGAAGCACTCGACCGCGAGCTAAAGACCCAGCAGACTGCTGCTGAGGCAGCTAAGCGCTCGCAGGGCCTCGAGAAAGCCGAAGCAGAGCGGCTGAGGGTACAGCAAGCGGCTGAGGGGGAAGCCGCGGCTGAGGAATCCAGGCGTCAAGGGAAAGCGGCGAAGGAAGCACTCGAGCGCGAGCTAAAGACCCAGCAGACTGCTGCTGAGGCAGCTAAGCGCTCGCAGGGCCTCGAGAAAGCCGAAGCAGAGCGGCTGAGGGTACAGCAAGCGGCTGAGGGGGAAGCCGCGGCTGAGGAATCCAGGCGTCAAGGGAAAGCGGCGAAGGAAGCACTCGAGCGCGAGCTAAAGACCCAGCAGACTGCTGCTGAGGCAGCTAAGCGCTCGCAGGGCCTCGAGAGAGCCGAAGTCGAGCGGCCGAGGGTGCAGCAAGCGGCTGAGCGGGAGGCCGCAGTGGAGGATGAGGAATCCAAGCGTCAGAGAAAAGCAGCCAAGGAGACGCTCAAGGGCGAGCTAAAGGCCCAGAAGAAAGCTACTGAGGCAGCTAGTAGCTCGCAGGGCCTCGAGGACGCCGAAGCCGAGCAAGTGAAGTTGCAGCAAGCAGCTCACGATGAGGAATCCAAGCGCCAACGAAAAGCGGCTAAGGAGGCGGCAAAGAACGAGCTAAAGGCCCAGCAGAAAGCCACTGAGGCAGCTAATCGCTCGCAGGGCCTCGAGGAAGCCGAAGCCAAGCAGTTGAAGTTGCAGCAAGCAGCTCAGGATGAGGAATCCAAGCGCCAACGAAAAGCGGCAAAGGAGGCACTAAAGAAAGAGCTAAAGGCCCAGCAAAACGCTGCCGACGTAGCAAAGCGCTCGCAGAAAGAATTGGAAAAAGCCGAAGCCGAGCAACTTAAGTTGCAGCAAGCAGCTCGCGATGAGGAATCCAAGCGCCAGGGAAAAGCGGCTAAGGAGGCACTAAAGGGCGAGCTACAGGCCCAGCAAAACGCTGCCGAGGTAGCTAAGCGCTCGCAGAAAGGCCTGGACAAAGCCGAAGCCGAGCAGCTAAAGTTACAGCAAGCGGCGGAGGAGGAGGAACGTAGACTCAAAGAGAAAGCGGCCAAGGCGTACAAGGAGGCACTCAAAGGCGAGCTAAAAGCTCAACAGACGGCTGCCGAGGAAGCTAAGCGCTCGCAGAAAAGCCTTGAAAAAGCCGAAGCGGAACAACTGAGGTTACAGCAAGCGGCTGAGGAGGAGGAAGCAAGGCTCCAAGGAAAAGCGGCCAAGGCGTCCAAAGAGGCACTGAAAGCCGAGCTAAAAGCCCAACAGAAGGCTGCCGAGGCAGCTAAGCGCTCGCAGAAGAGCCTTGAAAAAGCCGAAGCTGAGCAACTAAAGTTGCAGCAAGCCGCCGAAGAGGAGGCCGCGGCGGAGGGCTCGAGGCGCCAAGCCAAGGAGGCGCTTGAGGCCGCGGAGAAGGACCTGACCGCCCACAAGGTCTTAGAAGCCGCTCAGCAGGCCGATCGCCAACTCTTGGATGCCGAGATAGCTGCGGGTGCTGCCGCGCTTGAAGCGGAAAAGGCGGCCAAGATCGCAGCCGCCGCAGCTGAACTAGCAGCAGCTCAAGCCGCCGCACATCAGGCTGCTATCGCGGAAAAGCGAAAAAGTAACACGATCAAGGTTGAATTTGATTCACGGACGGACTCGAAAGCCCACGCCGCCGTGGTTGACTCTGCAGTCAGTCTATCGCAGTTTGTGCCGTCCGACGTCATCGTAGGCCTCAATCTCGCAAGTATTGTTGCCGCTGCGGAAGCTATCAAGATCCGACGGTCGCAGGTGTTGATCCTCAGCAGATACCCTGATCCTCACGAAAAGACGAATGACAAAGAACTCATGTACCTGTCGCTGACGACCCTTCAGCTGCTTAGCAGCTACGGGATCAATATTGAAGCATTGAAAGCGGCATCGAGTGCCAAGCTCATCAAAAAAGTCGAAGTTCATTCACGTCGCCTTCCGAAGGTCAACCTGCGCCTGGGGAATGGAACCCTAGCTGTCAAGAAGTGGGCGTTCTTGGCGGCTCTGGTTGACGAAATGGAAGGAGCTCCAGATCTCGGGCGCTTCCTCATGGTCCGCCATGACTGTCGGGCATTGCGGATAGCGGACGCGCATGCGGCGAGAAAAACACTTACCTTCAACCAGTTTGGGCATGTCAACGCCGAGATTACCTGTAACCTTGTCTGGAATGGGGAGGCACCACCTACGGATCCTAACTGGGAGGATGAGTTTGGGGCGTCTCCACTTGTGAGCAGCGAAGCCGACGAGCTAGTCGGCAAGGCCTTCAGGGGAAAAGGGTGCGAAGTGCTCTTCCTCGACGGCCCAGAGCAGGTGGGATACCATGTGCGGTCGGACGTATCCTCCTTGCGCTACGAGGCGCACAAGTTGTCCGTCCGGAAGGTGGCGGGTGACATGCCCGCAAGGCTGTCGCGCATTGTCGTACCAACGTACGTATCATCTTCGCTGTCGATTTGCATCTCGCAAAACGTATCTTAACTCTGCTTCTCCGTTGTAACATCGTAGGAACGTGAAAGATGCTCCTCCTGGAGACGACGTGTTGGAAGGGGGGATCCCCTTGGGGGAGAAGGTGTACGGCGCGCAGCTGGGGCTCTTACCTCTCGCTCTGCCTATCGACGGCGCCGTAGCCGATGTCTTTTCGGCGGAGGAACTCAAAGCTTCCGGTATTTTTCATTGTTTGAAAGTCATCTTCATCCATCATTGGGGATTATTACTTATTCAATCACAAAAATTACGAGCAGATGACAAATACCGCCGAAAAATTGAAAAGCTATTCAATCAAAAATCGGATCTGGGCCGGTTTCTTTCCCTCAAAAAAGTGAGTACGGCTGTGTGCACCAGCCTTACATTCATCGCATCCATGCTGATTGCTGGTTTCCACCTGGTCTTCCAGATTAATGCCATCAATCGCCTCCATGAAGCCATGCCGGGGCTGGTCGGTCCGCCGTTACTGGTCAATCTGGAGGAGAAGTCGAGCTTCGCCGGAGGCTACAAAGAAATCTATCGCAAGCACCAACGCCAGGAGTGGGGTTTGGGCCTGGCATCATGTTTGCTGCTACCAATTCCCATTGCTGCGGTCGCGGTGCTGGCCTCGAAGGCAAAAAAGTAAAGCATTTGTACATATTTCGTATTTGTGTTAGAAATATATCAATGTCGGTTCGCGTATTGGGAGTTCATTGAGCCAACGTGAAGGTCTCTCAAGAGTGCCACTAAGGTTTGGGGACATGTCGACATGGTCTCATTGACATTCCGAATATTGGCACCGCCCACCAACCGCCCACGCTGTTTGCGAGCGCTCGCCGCACAAGCTTTGCTCGCAACCTACGCGACAGCAGCGATACATTGCCTCGTTCACTCAGGACAGGGTTGACACCCCGTAACCAGCCAGACATGGACGGCTGCCCGGTTGCCTTATGACCTTCCCAGTATGTCTGGTGGGCATGGGGATCCAGACATAGTCGCCGGGACCATCGTTTAGTCGTGGGGATTGCTAATTCGTCGTTTCGTGAGGACGAGTCGGACCTAGTGTCATATTCTTGATGGAATGATGGCCATAGTGATTTATTTGTAGGTTACATTTGGCCGAGAGCAATTGGCCAAGAGCAACAACCACACCGTATAGACAGGTGAAGGTGCAGCATATCAGCATCGCCTATGCCCGTGTTTAATCTGCAGACGGCCAGGGGCTCCAGCGGCTTCGACTACAAGTTTCTCCTTACTCGAGCCATCGGGCATCTGCTATACTGGATTTGGAAACCCCAACTTTCGGGAATCTGAGGTGAGTTCAGCGGTCTTTGATATATGTGAGGTATGATTCGCGTCGTGTGTATCGTGTATCGATGAACTTTCAGTTTTACCGCAACCTGGTTTGGACATCAACGGAGTCATAGCCACAGCGTCCGACTGTCGGATATCTGAGAGTGGGGTGAGACCGACAAGACGCTGGGGCATTTTTCCTGCGCCATGCAATCCCAGTTTTCGTCATGGATGCGTTCCGAACTCCTGCCCCAACATGTCTGATTGTTACAACCCACTACGAACCCCAGATCATAATCAACGCAGCGAAGGACCAGTACACTAGCGAACACAAGAAGTCGCGCTGTCGTTGATCAGTCCCTTCGGACCCTTTGCGCACCGCTCCGGCCTGGAGGATGGACACACTTCCCGGACATGCACCCTCTCGGCCGACACCGCGGGCAGATTTTGAGCTCGCGCCGCACTTACTCCCTGATCACATTCGTTATGAGCGGCCTGCACTTGGAAAGCCAGTTTCGGCCCAAGACGCCCGCTACTATCTCCATCGACAGCACGAACAGCTCTTCTTTGATTCGAATATTCCTTCCTGCAGCGTGACATGTCGGCCACCTCCTGCCAACTCCTCATCGGCACACCTAAAAGTATTCAGGTTCTCCCGTACCGAGCTAAAACAGGAACCAAAGAAGGTCTCGATTGAGTGTTGGACAAAAGCTCAAGCTGCCCAAGTTTGGTTTTGTCTACGAGGGTCTTGGTGGTAGTTTAGGAGAAGTGATTGTGTCACGCGACTAAGAGGGTAGTTAGCAAAAGATGTTTGCGTGTATATGTAGCGTAGCCTTGGGGCTGAAATGGAAATCTTGATCATATCTCTCTGCTTGAGAAATGAGACCGTTATACTTGATGTTCTGTCTTGTGGATATTCCAGTACCTAAGGGTTAAAATAATGACCTCCGAGGCACCGGGGCGGAGTTTGGGCTTTGACGGCATTTCGACAGCAGATGGATTTCTGATGGGCCATCCGCTTCACTGAGTTTCAAATTATCAACGCTGAGCTTACATAATGCTTCGGGTTCCGTTATGAGCCCGACATCACGAAGTTTGCGGGACATCATCCGCCGCGCAGGTCGGCCGTCGGCGGTCGGCGGTCTTACGCAGCACGCAAGTAGGTCATCAGGGAAACTGCAGATGATATGCCGGCAAGGCTGTCGCAGATTGTAGTACCTACGGTACGTACCATCGTCCTCCCTGGCTCCTGTATGTCTCATGTTGTATATCTAACTTTTCGCTCCCTTGACACATTGCAGATGTGTGCGGGCAAGTACTCTCGCCCCAAGTTACATTACAACAAGTGACAGCATTCCCGCCCCTCTCTCAGAAGTCAAAGTACCCTCTCCTCAACAACGTTATTCTTCTCTCCAAGTCATCCGTCAGGCTCTATCCCTGGGCTCGAAGAATCGCTTAAAGCAAACAAAACGCCGCGCTCGAACAAGCAGCAAAAAGCGGAGGCTGAAGTTTTCCACTCCTCTCCTACAAGTACCGTCTCCGTTCCCGCGAAATTACCCTGTCGACTCCCCAAGGAACAGTCAGAAGTTTTCCAAGTTACAATATTCTTGACCCTTCAATTCAAAACATATCCGTCTCCTCTCCAAGTTATAACAAGTTAGTCTACATCAATTCAAAAAGAACTCGAGCTTGCAGCAACAGCTTGACAAGCACAACAGCGGTCGAGGCTGCAGAGCAAGCATCGAAAGACGAAAAGTGCGAGGCGAAAGCTTCCAGCAAGTTATAGACTCTCGGTCCCTCTCCTCAAGATCTAGCCGAGTAGATTTCGACCTCGGAAGGGTTTCGATAAAGGATCCTCTCGAGACCTCAACGCGTAGCGGGGTTACGGTCCAATTCACCACAAGTATACTCCTCTCCTCTCCAACTTACAAGTTATACAACAAGTTACGACAAGTTCTCCGCATCAATTCACAAAAGGAAGAACCATGGGCTCTGCGGGACCAAGCGAAGGAGAAGAAATGCCTTCAAAGGAAACCGTGGCTCATAAAAGAGCAGCGGCGAAGGCGGACCGGGAAGCGCTGGAGATTGAGCGAAGGTCTCAAGAAATTCTCTCCTCATCAAGTTAACTCCAGCCACCCATGTTCAAGTGTATTGTCGTTTGCCGTCTAAATACATACTTTGCAATACATTTATTAATGCACATCATTTGATAAAATCTCGGGAGCTGTTGTTGCATGAAACGGATGCTGGCCCCTCTCTAGATGTAGTCCACGCTATTGCGACGCATATCGCGGGGGGCGTCGGAGTTCAAGTGGCTGTCACTCATGAAACTCTTGAAATCATTCTATGGCTATGGAGAACGCGTTGATTGGGAATGCCATTTCCTCGCTGTGAACGCCGACGGTATGCGAATGTGTAGATACAACGCTTGCCTTCCCCTAAATCCTACGCCATCTGTTTTCTAACTACTAAATACAAACTACCAATCGTCGACGATATCATCCTCCAGCACCGGCGGCGAGGGCACAAGATTACTGGCCGGCCGCACAAACGCGTTAGCGACCGGTGCACCCGAACGGCCACCGACGTTCTTCATCCTGTCCGTCTCCTGCAGCGACGCACTGGATCCTGCACTCGCAGTGCTGAGACTTGGCTGCAACCGCGGGACGGACTCATTTTCGGCGTCTGTGTCGTCGCAAGACTCATAGACGTTGAGTTCTTTTTCCGTGAGCGGTTTGGGATGCGGTGCGGTGAGGGCAATGTTATGTTGAGTGAGGCTGTTGATAGGGGCGGTGTGGTACGGTGGGTTTGCGCGGCTGGTGCGAAATGTGCATAGGTTTGTCAGCAAGTGGGTGTGATGTGGTGCTGTAATGTGATATGATTTCAGGAAGTCATGAGTGAGATCACCGGATGTTAAAGCATGTTAGCGCGAACGCCTGTGCGAATACATACACAGGGACACGCGGTCGAGCTGTTGACCAAGAGCGGACGAGGATCGATAAAGACCTTGCTGCTGTTGCGCCTGACCGCTGTTGATGATATGCATGTACGGCAATATGTCATGGCACAGAGCCGATTCGGAGTACATTGCTGCAGTTCGCGGGAAGTAAGCTTGGCCTGACCACTGTACGTATGCAATCTTCGACTTCATACCAGTAAGCGGCGCATTTACACTCCTGCGATCCAGACCCTCCTCCTTGCAGCCGTCTCTCGCCCACTCCAACGCAGCTCCTCTCACATTAGCCTGCAACTCCTGCTTGACGCGAGTAAGTGCCCATATGTCCGGTCGGTGAAGTTGTCGGAAGCGTTGGGGTGGCACGGGATGGGTATGGGAGAAGCAGAGCCCTCTCGATGCTATGGAGGCGATGTAGGGGGATAGGGCGGGTATATTCTGTCGATGCAAGCCAAGGGAAGATGCACAATAACGTTAATCTTTGAGCAGCATTTCGGCGGCGAATCGTGGAACCTACCTGCCAATTTCCACACAGCGTATCTGTGAGACTCATGTAGTCGGCAGCGTTGGCAACCTCGTCCACATCAGCAAAGAAGTGCAAGCAATTCTGATGTAAGAACAGCGCGAAAGACTCGGCGTCAAGATTGGAGGCTGCTATCACGTTCTGCGAGTAGGTGCCAGTCAGACTCAGGATCCCATATATGCACGGTATCAGAAGGTACCTCACCTCAGGATTGTTTTCCAATGGTGGTCGTCGATGTTGTGCCAAAAACGGTGGAAGGTCGGAGACTTGCGCTGACGAAGTGTCGTTAACAAATTGCCCATCTGTCCTACAAAGTACCAGTAAGCCAAAATACTCCTCTCCGTCTAGCGCCACATCCGACAAATTGCTATGCCTACCGTTTACTATACAGGATCTTCCCCAGCGAATGAAAAATTGCAAGATTGACTTCCCGTGTCCCAACAAACTCCAGCATCGTCGAATTTTCCTCACTCTTCGCAGCCGTCTTGCTCTTGCCTGCCTTCATGGCCGCCTTCATACCCTTCAAGTCTCTCAGCGTCAAAAACTGCAGTGCGTTGATGGCACAGCGAATGTCACCTCCGCTTGATTTCGCGATCAGTTGGATCATCTCTTTGTCGGGGCGATAGGCGGCGTGATGAGGAAATCGGAAATTGAGCTCGGAAATGCGTGTAAGAGCTTTGACGAGGTATGTTGGAGCGATCGGATTGAAGCTGTGGGCGGAAGGTGGCCGTGAGTACCTGGAACGTTGTTGATCTGGTCCGCAGTCCGGAATAAAATTCGTACCTGATTTGTTTACAAGCAGCAGAGGAAAGCACATCTGGCGGAATAAGGATCCTTGGTGTAATGATACCGTCTTGATTCATTCTCCGCCTTCCCTCGTTTACGTCTATCGCCGCGACATCCGTCACGATGAAGACCAATGGGTATCTACTTCTCGGCGACCGGACGTATGATCTGATCGCGGAGTGGATGGCGCTTCGCGTGGCAAGGTGGCTGACATTCGGGAGATCCTCGATCAAAATAATTTTCGGCGTGTTGGAACGGACTTTTGGAATTGGCAATGATGATGGTGAAGGATAGAATTGTCGATCGGAATCCTCTGCATCTGAAGCTGCTGTTGTTCCAGGATGGAACGAGAGCGCCGGCGTTTTGGCGGCAGCGCCAAGGAAGTCTTTGAAAGCGCCGCTCAGCGACAAATACTGGCCTGGGTACGGTCGACGATAGTCACCCTCCCTGAGCGGTTCCTGCGCATCAAGGTTCATCGCATTCGTGTTCACAGGGTTGCTCCACTCAACTATTTCCAGCGCCATGTCTTTGGCGAGCATCCGCACTACAGCCGTCTTCCCTGCGCCACAAGGACCGGTAAGCACCAAGACTTTCGGGGTCCGCGAAGACCCGGCACGGCCTGCGCGCGAGTGTGGTGCGGTAATAGCCTTCAGCAACCAGTCCCGCACATCCGCAATCCTTTTGTTGTTGACTGCAAGCTCCTCTTCTGACGAGGGTTCGTATTGGTCAATCCAGAGCTTTGTGTCCGGGACAGCCTCCGAAGGCGTAGTTGCGGTGTGTTTAGAGTCGCCGGGTATGACAAATCGCTTTCGACGGGCAGGCGGCGCCGTAGATGCTGATTCCATGACATTCCGCGCCGTTTCGTTCTGTGCCTTGAGCTGTTCAAGAATGTTCCCACTCTCTACCTTTCGACGCTTGGCAAGCGTAGTCCTTCCCGTTGTCGGTCTCGCAGGTGATGGCTTGCTCAGTCCGCCGCGTTTCGAGGTTTTGGCAACGTCAGCCGATTCAGGATCTGACGATACGTGGAAGACAGAATCCTTTGATGTGCCAGTTGAAGCCGGTGTTTCGTTTGAGTCTGGGACTGGTTTGCTTCGAGTTCTGGAAGCATACGTTCGTTTGTTGCTCCCTTTTGCCGCCGTGCAGGTTTCTACTGACATGGGTTCTGCAGAGGCACTCGGCCATGCATCCAGCGACTTCACCCTCTCGTCCGATTTTGCCGACACGGACGACGCAAGCCTGGCAGTCTGCCTCGTGGTCCTCCTCAAAGCGGGCTGGGTACTACTGGACGCTGCGTCTGACCGTATGGAGGTCATGGTTGTAGTGTCTGTGACTCTGGCAGCTCTCCCCGCTGGCGGCCGACTTCCTCTAGCTTCTATCGTATCATTCAAGCTCTCTGTGCACGTTTGTGTTTGCTTCCTCTGCCTCCTCACTTGCACCACGCCGGCCGGAGTGCCTTTCGTGTTCCCTCGTCCATCTTGACCTGAACTCGTCGGGGCGCGTCCTCCCACATTCCCAGCATTCCCTGCACCATTAGTCGTCGACTCCCCGTCCGTGGTTTCTTCACTGTCCGAGGAAACGATAATCCTTCCCTGGGTACGGCGAGCCTGGGATTCTCAACAAATCGTTAGGATGAGGCTCTATCCCCCCCAAGCGGCCATCGTCCAGAGCTTACCATGGCATATGGGCACGGAAAGGCGAGCTCAGCAACTATTTTGTAAAAACCCTCCGCGAGGACATCAGGCACCTTCGTGGGAATATGGGTTGGCAGAGTCCACTCTTCCCGATATGAAGCGGAGTGCGTGGGAAAAAGCCGAAATTGCAAGCATTGGACCTGCTTTGGACCCTTGGGAGCCTTTTGTACGCGCCGCGGGCCTCTCGGGCCTTTTGGACACCGTCTCTGGAGTCTCTGGGCTTCCTGCCCGCTATCCCCACTTCGTTCGGTACCATACTCGTGGACGGTTTCAACGGATCTCATTCCGGCCCAACGTGGCTCCTGCCCTTTTAGAACGCAATCCATGTCCTCGACCGGAGCAGCTGGAAGGGAACACACCCGACCTGGACGCCGAGACGAAGCGACGACAACGACAAGCGGAACAGATCAGCAAACTTTTCAGTGTCCTGTGCGGAGTACAAGTTGCCATCATCGGCGACGCCTCAGGCAGAGGTACAATGATGTGGATGGCAGATAACCACCACGGAAAATGGGATGGGGTGAAAATTCTAGACTACCGGTTACGGGAGAATGCGTCTGGTCTGCGGCCATCGCCAAACACCACTGAACGCACAATCGAGACGAAATTCTTGGTGCTTAGGACGTCCTGATTGTGCACTTTCATCCGTAGTGGTCGTCTTCCAGGAATCTCAAATGGCGTCCAGTCTTGGTTGATACATTCGGGGTTGGGGCAACCCACCAATCCATGGACAAATTCCATTCTTCCCTTTCGAGCTTGCCACGGCCGAGGTGACAGCCGGCGTCGGATGTTTTTCCTCACACGCCCGTGGCAGTGTGGGCACACGGACGACGTTCGATACTCATCCAGCAAGTAGCATGGAATGCCGTTTCTCGCAAAGAGTGTGCGGAATCTGTTCCATGATGAGTTAGCATAATGATACATAAAAAACAATGATGGTCACTCACCCTTTGGTCTTTGATGACTCCTGAAAGCGCATGGTTTTTCCAGCGTCGCTCCAATCACCCAAGATGACCGAAAAATGCTTTCCATACAGGCGTCGCATGTTTTTGATGAGCTTGCTCTCAGACTTTCGCCGCAGTGAGAACGCCTTGAATCTGCGAGCGACGTGAATCTCATCCTGGTAAAACTCATCCAGGGCGGGATCTGGGATATAGATGTCAGCCCACGTGTTACCAAATTTGAAGACAATGCATGATACATCATACCCGCATGTACGTGATCCACAATGAACGCTGAGAACGCCTCGATGTTCATGCTCTTGTGCGACGGAATATGTGATTCCATCTCAGCGATGCCGGCATTGATCTTTCGCTCTGTCATGTCTCTTCGAAAGTACCGAGACTTTGTCTCGACTGCCCGTTGATTGGATGTGTATCTGGTATGGGGTGGTGCATTGTGAGAACGCGGCAACGGAATGTCGAACAGAGGGGATGGTGGGGATGGTGACAGGGGGGGATGGTGGGGATGGGGACGGGGACAGGGTTGAGGAGGGCGTCGATTGGGATAGCGGCGACAGTGGGGGCAGCGGCGACACTGGGGACAGCGGCGACAGCGGGGACAGAGGCGACAGCGGAGCGGCGACAGCGGCAACAGCGGGGATAGCGGAGCGGGGACAGCGGCGACAGCATGGATAGCGGAGCGGGGACAGCGGCGACAGCGTGGATAGCGGAGCGGGGACAGCGGGGACAGCGGTGATAGCAGAGACAGCGGGGATAGCGGAGGTACTGCAGATCGAATTCAGTCGCCGTCGCAGTTGCAGTCGCCATGCATTGCTGCGCATTCTGATCTCATTGAGCTTTCCGCCCACTTCCGCGATCGCTTGAGTACAGCTTGGAGTAGGAGCCGGGCTCGCGATTCGCTCTTCACGACTACGACGGCGAAGCGACAACACATCCCATGCCGGTCAACCTCCCGCAAGCGGCGGTCGTGCTCAGCACAGGAAGCGTTGAGATCAGCGATGGCGGAAGTTGATAGCATAAAGTTGATGGTGTAATCAACAGCGGCGACAGCGGCGACAGCGGGGAGGGACAGCGGGGACGGCAGGGCAGTAGTAATCAACTGAAACGTACCTAAATGGCCGCTCCTTCTTGATGTCTCGACAGAACAAGAGGTCACGCTTGCCCGGATCATTGCTGACGATGTTTGGAGCCTCCCGTAGTTCGGCAATGTGGTGCTCAAAATACAGCTGCTTGACTTCTTCCCGCATTTGGACCTTGCTGCGCTTCCGGGCCCGATGCCCATACTTGAGCCCTGGCTTCTTGAAGTGGATGGTAGCAGAATACCCGTTTGTGCTGATCGATCCATCAAATTTAAGACCAAGCTTCTTTCGATGCTTGAAGACCTTGTCCTGCAATGCGTCATTCAGCGAGGTGATTGAAATGAGCGCAGAAGGATAGAGACTTACATTCACGTTGAGAATCTGCCCCCACAGCTCCTGCTTGCGTTGATCGGTGAATTTCCCCATGCGACGTCGGCTCAAGCCCAGGATATGGGTCGCTAGGATCAGCGTGTCGATCCAAACAGATGACTGGATTCGAGATTTGCGCAGCGGGATCGCCGAAAAGAGCCGCATTCCATGGCGCTCATAGAGGCGCGAGAGCTCACAGTAGGCGCCTATGACGAGGGCAGGTGCAGACCATGATTAGACAAAAGAGGAAGCGGGGGGGGGGGGGGGGGGGGGGCGGAAATATACTAACTCACCTAAATATGGCATTGCGTCCACCGCAAGGCTGTAAGCAAGCGGCTCATCCTGGGGAGGAAACAGAGCCCATAACTCGTTGAGGACGGTCCGCTCAAGTCGTGTGAGGCGCGCAAACTCTTCTTCGGTTGGAAACTCTTCAAATGTCGCATACTTTGTAAACTGACGGACACGCTGATAATAGTGTCGCCGCTGCGCTCGGTTGACTCCAGTTCTACGGAGATGCAGTACGACTTGCTTCAAACCAAGCCTTTCATTGACATAGCGCAGAAGCATTTGAATGAAATGCTCTTGTACGTTGACTTTGAGGTTTGTGAAGATGCTCGAAGCCGTGTACGCTGCGGTCTGTTGGCAATGTTGCATGCGGATAGGGGCGAATCCGTGAACATTACAGTAGTCTTGAACCCATGGACGCAACTCTTGCGCGATGACCGGATTGCCGTTGTAGCGTGGATTGTTGAGCAGCTCAAACATCACACTGATGTGCTTGTCAGTGATGTCCGGGAAGTCGTGTAGAGGATGATCAGCTGTGGTGGGCAGACATAGTAGTCAGGGCATTGTTTCATGGGAAATATACAGTGTAGTGTACCTCAAAAACTCACCAAGGTAGTACTTGAGAAAGAAGGTGGTGTGGCGCGCAAGGATGTGAACGTTGCCGATGAATGTTGTCAGGCGCTCCCTTTGAACTTGATTTTGATTATGGATGATTCGGTGAAGCGAAACCCTAGTGCTGGCGTGTGTCTGCGGGCGGGGTCGTTGAGCTGGAGGTGGTCGCGGGGGTGGTGGTGGCGGGGGTTCATACACCAGGGGTCCACCCGGTGTGCTGGGAAAAAGGAAAGGGATGGGAGCGGGGAGGTTCAACGGACGCTGCAGACCCCTGTCCACTGGTGAAAGCCCTCGCTGCTGGTGCTGCTGCCCGTCTTCATCGCCGGAACTCTCGCCAAACATGTCTGCAATTGCTTGGGGCAAGTGGCGTTGGACAGAGGGTGGGAGCTCGAATCGTGGGGGCTGCAATGGTGTCTGCACAGCCGTTGGCAGACGCGGGGTAGCGGGAGTAACCTTCCTCCTCTTCCGCCGTGGTGTGGTAGCTCCGGTAAAGATGCCACACCACAGGTGCCCCTGGAGCGCCTGGTGTGATGGCATGATGGCTGTGCTGTGCTGTGCAGGCAAGTGGTGAGATCAAGGGGACCAAGCAAGGGGCCTGCTCTCGAGGAGGATCCAGGATTCCTGCTTACCTGCGATGTGTTGAAGGCTTTTAAAGATTGGTTGGGGGCTTGCCTTGATGTGCGAGGGTGGAAGTGTGCGCAATTGTGCGCAATTGTAAGAAGGAGCTCGGTCTCGCTGTGAAAGCAGGTCTGGAATTTGTCTTCTCGCCTGTGGAGCCGTCCCGGGCCACTAACCCTAACCCTGCCCCGCGCGCTGAAGGCCGTATGTACTGCACACAAGGCCGAGGGTGAAGGCTGTAAGCCCGACAGTGAAACCAGTCCGCGCCGTGCAGCGGGCCAGCCTGGCCAGCCAGCCTGGAGACCAGATTGGGGATGGCGAGTTTGACGTGCGGGGGCCAAATTTCTCCCCAAAATCCATTGATGGCTGACTAGTACAGCGTGGGGCGAAAATTGGTCCCCCGACGGCGGCACTTCCGGTTTGACGTGCGGGGGCCAAATTTCTCCCCAAAATCCATTGATGGCTGACTAGTACAGCGTGGGGCGAAAATTGGTCCCCCCGAAAATTGGTCCCCCGGCAATGACATCTCGTATTCGCTCTACTTCACATCTGCGTATCCGGCAACTTGCCCTGGCATCTCACCTCTCATATCGCCGCCATCTTTGGGTCGGACCGCGCACGGGGCTCATTTCTCGAACGCATATCATCTCTCATATCGTCATATGCATCTCGCCGTGCGCGATCCGGCGTCGTTAGGTCCAAAGATGTGCTGGATCATATGTATTTATTTATCGTTGTTAATATACGTGTACGCGGCACAACCCCTACCCGTACAACCCCTACATGTACTGCTCCCCCCAATAAACCCCGCGCTCCAATAAAATCCTCCCTCTCGGCTTCCTCCATCTTCGTGTCGATACAAATCGGAATGGGTCAGCGCAATCGTTCTAAAGTCTGCAATCGCTCTAAAGACTCAGCAAGCCCAAGGACGCGCCCGGCAGCAACGACACCCTCCTCCCGCAACAACCGTTCGACTCATTTTGCCAGCTTCTCGTTGATTTGAACGGAGGTCCCGAGGCGATTGGAGTCGTCGCCTCTGACGGACGACGTGATTGCGTGTGCATCCTCAGGCCCTCGCCTGTGGAGAGGCGATCTCACTGTGGAGTATGTTGCAGGCCGCTTACAACGCGGCGGCAACAAGTACAGCTACTGCAACATGCACCAGCAAGGCCCCGAGTACTTGGCATTTGCTTGGCATTGAGGGGCTTGCATTCTTGGTACACGACTCTTTTTGAAGAATGCTTGAAGGAATCGCAGCACGACACAGTTCGCTATGTTGTGCACTATGCTTCCACCACCAAGAACCTTTGCAAGGATCTGACCAAGCGATCAAGGCGCTGGCGGACAGGTTGGCTTCGTAGGACCCGACGAAAAGCAGAATGGGCACGGATTGAAAGGCCGATTTAGGCCGTCGGGACCTCTATCTCGCAAAGCCGGTGCTAGCAGCGCCCGCGATGAGCCGCAGGCTCCACTCCTGGTGGTGCCCTTCCGTCAGTTCCTTTCAGTTTCAGCCTTGCGACCATACTCCCCCCGGAACCCAAAAGCTTTGATTTCTCATAAGGTGCCGAACGAGTCAATAAGTTAACGTCGTCCGATCCCTTGTCGGCATAGTTTATGGTTTTAAAAACCAGTGCGAAGACGCCGTCTTCGCACACAACCATACCTTTTTCTAGAGACAACATTGTATAGACATTCTACAATACATCAGTGTATGATCTGACCATCGCCAGCTACTTCCGATCTCACGAATAAAACGTAGGCATACGACGAGGATCTTGCACATGAAAGCGCCCCCTACACGGCTCCCAACCAACCGAAAGCGCCCACAACACCCAGTACTATGTAGAAAACGATTGCACGATAGCGAATGCAATTTCCGGCGGCCGTATACGCCGAACGTTGGAGAAAGAAAAGAGAAAGGATTAGCGATAACACTGTATCAGCTTAGACATTGCGAGTGGAAAAACGAAAAACGACGTAGACCACTGCAAGAAAGAGACAAAAATCCCTTGACGTAGCTGATTCCTCTAGAGACAATTAGTGAGGAATTTGGATTTCGACAAAATCCCGTAGCTTAGAAAAATGTCTATAAAAGCCTGCCTGTTTCGCTTAGACTTTGTACAATACGCAGAACCCGACCCACAACAGAGCTACTTCTACTCTCTACGTCCGATGACTCCTTCTAGTTTCTTCCGGACCGACCCAAGGTGCACTCATGGACCAGAGAGCTTGTGCAAGACGACCATTGAGCGTCGAGACTTGGACTTAGCTGATGTCGACGAGGACTTGGACGATCTGGGGTTTTGTAAGAATCGTTGAGGATAGTACTGGATAACTCCTTTGTGCTGTTTTGTAGTCAACCCCGAAGATAAACCCGAACCCCACCGAAAATACCGAAAATCTCGAAAACCTAAGATCAAGGACTCCATCTAAAGCACCTGGATATTACGGTGGCAATTTGAAGCTTCGCCGGAAGCTATCGTCCTGTGATATAGAGAGACCGGCAGCCTCACTACCCCGAAGTCCATCCCTACGATCCGAACAACTGACACCCGCTTCGGCCGGCCACCACCACAGCGTACTTGTGAAGGCTGTAGATTGCAGTAAATTGTTGAAGTCCGGAACAGGTACCTAGCGTTACAAGTTATCAATGCTCATAAAACTCGTATATCCTGAGACTTTGTTCCAGACTGTAAGAGAAGTGCATGTAAACAGGAACTGCTCAAACTAGCGCTGCTTTCAGCGGGAAACGGGGGCATCTTGCTCTGCAGATGAGTGCGAATCATATTCAATTGCCTGAGCAGGCTCGCCCGACAAATCTTCGATTGCCGACAGGTCTTCGATTGCCGGAGCGGGCTTGCTTGAAGATCCTACAAGTGTCGGATAAGCTTTCGTGGGAAGGTAAACCCTTCTTCGTATTTTACTTGCCGGCTGGTATCATGAATCCAATGCTGCCAAGCGCAGTAGTCAAAGCCTGCATCACTGTGGGGGAATCCCTTGCGGCCTCTGCAACCGCGACCCCAATATTGGCGACAGCTGTGCTCACGCGCCCCAATTCTACATTACGTTCTTGCAGAGTAGCTTCCAATACGCTTTTTGCTGCGTCAAATTGTTGCAGTTGGCTGATCAATGCGGCCTTCGCTACTTGTTCTGCCCGGATGGTGGCGCGTTGCACTTCGATCTCAGCGGTTTGCGCAAATTGGGACTCGCTGAGCCGTAAAATTTCGGCTTCGGCTTCTTTGATTCTTTGAGTGGTGGCTTCCACCTCCGCCCGAGTCTGTTCCTGACGTTCGCCTTGATCGGACAACGTTGCTTGTAGGTGCTGAATGTACCCTCTCAATGCATCTTCACGAGTTTCGAAGTTCTCAACGCGTTGCAAGGTTTGACGGATCAAGGCTGAATTTAGGGGGGAGGTTCAGTTCAGGTGGTACGATGGGAAGAAGGGAACTTCCAATCAACGTAGAACTTATTACCGATGACCTTCAGTTTCTGGGGGACATGAATCGCGTAACTCGGCCTCGAAGTTCATTTTGTCGAAGTCTGTGGGTGCACGATAAGCTCAGGAGAAGCATTGATTGTCGAAGGCCCTTTCCTTCCCTTTCCCATTCCACTCACCTTTGCTTTCAGTCAGAGCCTTTCTTTGCCAGGGATCTCGGGAAAGCACTCGCTTGGAGAGCCTTTAAGAACTCTCTCGATTGATGACTTGGCCTACTGTACAATACATAGTAGGTGTACATATGTACATATGTACCAGGCTACTACCAGCTCGGGCCGCGATGAGGCTCACGGGCCACAACTTATCAGCAACTATATCGCGAGAGGCTTTTCGCACCTGGGGTCCTGGAGCCTCATCAAGGCTCAAGAGTCACGGAGGGCGGTATGATGCGGACCAGCTTGGTTGTGTTGCATGAACGGGGGACCAGGTGTACACGTAGTATATGTACAGTCAGTGGACAAAAAGCTGTGTGCACCCCATATGGATTTCAATGACCGTTTCACAAAGCGCACCGCGCGTTTTGGAGCCGCAAGCTTGAGTATTGAAGCCAGCGACGAAGCCGTGATGGCGAAATGCACGCCAACATCTTCACCACCTCAGCTATGGGGAAACCTCTCACACCACAAAAAAGGGCAGCCATAGTTGCCCTCCATATAGCAGGCAAGACGACATCTGAAATTGCAAGGCAGGAGCACGTTCACAGGAATACTGTGAGGAACACTATTAAGAGGTTTGCGAACGAGAGTGCCACTGCACCAACCGCCTATCAATCGAAGAAGCCGTAATCGCAGCCAATGGGGGGACAACTAGGTATTAGCGAAATTCAGATCTAGATCCATTCATTTAGGTCAGGTTTCGCAATGCCCCAAGATTAAGGATGATGAGTTGATGTCGCGCAACGCGCGTCAGACACTGACTTAATCTGGCATGCACACAGCTTTATGTCCACTGACTGTACACCTGGTGCAACATAATGAATTGTCCATGGATTAGGGGGTCGTCCTGCGCGGGATGGGACGGGATCGCAGGCTCTATCAGCGAGTCGCGCCAACCATACTGAGAAAGCGCAACACGGCGGACTATCAGGACGCCTGCGAGGTCTCCGGACGAACGTCTCACGAGTACTGGGGTTAACTCGCGATACTAAATAGCCAGAGATTGCAGAACATTGACACGCATTGTTGAAAACAAGCTATATGCATTGACGGGCGATGGAGGTGCTATGTCTGAAGTACCACGAGCAGCTCACCTCCGCAGTTGTGACCTTTGCGTCCGCTCTCACCGTACTATTCTCAGACTCTTAGGCCAGCGACGAGTGAGCTCGAAAGGGCAAATGAGCGAATACTAGCGTGGAGTGCTGCAAGGGTTGCAGAAAAGCAAGTAAAAAACTCGAAGATCGGATTACGGAAACGATGCGCGCTCAAGCGCAGATTGATGCAAGTGACGCAAAAACAAAGGAGCCGGAAAAGGAGCTGGAAAAGGCGAACGAGCGATCATAAGCAGATTGACGTCAGTGACGGCCGAAGCAAGCGACGGAACCCAAATTGGCCGGAAGCAAACGAGCGACTACAGGTGGAGGGCGAAGCACGAGCTCGCAAGTTTGAGGCCCCCTTATATAAGTCCCACAGTTTCCCGAGGAAGTAGGAGAACGGGCAACCCTGTTCCAAGTTGAGGGACATGATCGAGGAATATCAGGGCTTCCATACCACCAATACTGTGGAGCGCCTCTGGGTGCTGTCGGTCAACTGGCTGTCATGAACCGGGCATTAATTTGAAGGTGGTGTTGTGTCGTCGGAGAGTCGGAGGATGCGAAATGAATTATGAAGCGCGCAACTTTTCATTTTTGTTGGAAGGTGGTCTTAGGGGGGTGGTGGTGGTCTGGGACTCTGGGTGGTGGTGGTTAAGGTTTGGTCAACGTCATCACGTCGCGTTCTTCTGCGTTCGTCCCCTTCGAGACTTCCAGCCGTAAGAGGCGGATTAGGTACTGTACGCTAGCGGCGGTTGGGTCCGCTATCCGAACTATGAGGTTGATATCTATCCTACAGAACCGGCAGCCTCTCAGACTCTTTATGCGAGACGTTGATGTGTTTCTGTTGCAATGACGACTGCCCGTTGGTCTCAAGGACTCCGTGGTCCTCAGTGGGTGCTCACGGGGTTGTTTGCCCATCACAGCCTCACCCCTCCAATGACCGAAGGCACTCTACAATTCCCTTCGTGAACTATAAAAGCAGGACTCCCACAAAGAATCCCGCAGGGAAGCCGTTACTCATAAGTCAGGCCGTCCTTAGGAATCCCTGCAAACACGCACTCGATCGGGTTTCCAACTCTTAGCAAATTGATACTTTTTTCCCACAAAATATGCCCGCCGAAACATTACCAGCAGCTCCGGCTCCAGCCGGCACATCCACCGCCGCACCTCCGAAATCCGCTGACTCCAGTGTCCCTGGCGACAAGATCGCCCATGCAGATGTCGTCGATGCCTCCACGACGGTAGACCAGATAGCCGACGCCGCAGAACAAGCGTCCGCCGCCCCAAAGACGCAGTCGCAGTCCCCGGTGGAAGCTCCGAAGCCGGAGGAGAAGCCGCTGGTGCTGTCGGAGGAGGAACGGCCTGTGCCAGAGGTTTTGCAAAACATTGTGAATTTCCGTGATGTGGGAAAAAACTACAATGGGGACATTGGAAGCAAGTAAGTTTTGCATGGGAAAACTAGGGGACCGAGGATGGGGTGGTGCCGGCTGTGCTTTGTACATTCGGGACTCCGATACGGATCCCATGGCTAACCTCTATGGGGTAACTCTTAATAGGGCTTTGAAGGAGGGCATTTTCTTCCGCTCGGGACGATTAGGTGTGTGCTTGTGATATTCAACTCGGTGCAATATATTTCTTCTGGACGACATTCTGATGCGAGTCCATTCTATAGACGATGCAACGACCAAAGATCTGGAACTGCTGACGGAGCTGTATCACATTCGCACGGTGATCGATTTGCGCTCAGAGTAAGTCCTATGCGAGACATCCCATGATGCAATGCATGGTTTTGATTGCCAACGCAATCTCCTGTAGAACGGAAGGAAAGATGGGCGATGACCTGGTCAACACTTTCCCGGCATCTGCCATCAACGAGGTAGGATTGACCTGCCTTACATAAATTGATCAACGCATGGAGATAGCCTAAAACTTAGCACTCCTCCTCGTGCAGACCAAAATCTACGAACTCCTCGGCCCCATGCGCGATCCGCCCGCAAGCACGGGCGAGCCTATCGACGCCGTTGGTCCCACCAACGTCGACGGCGCATCCGAGTCTCCCGCCCCGCATCCCCAAAAGAGCACCTCCAGCACCAATGTGACGAAACCGACACATAAAGGAGAGGTGCCGGTGACGAGGAAGGTGGAGAAGGGCAAGGAGAATGGGCGGGTGACGTACTATGTGAACTTTGCTGGGAAGAAGTTCAGGCGGCACGCGGTTTGGAAGCCGCTCAAAACGAGTACCAAGATGTAAGTCTGATAATCACGTGTTCCATGTAATGTTCCTCCGTCCTTACTGGCACTACCTTTCCCTCCTTCATATGCAGAAAATGCATCTGCTACCTCCTAACCCACCAAAAACCGCGCGTTGTATCAGTCGTCGGCTCCGAATCCATCCAACCCCACGGCCTCCTCGGCCTGAACCTCGCCTTCCTCCACCACTCCGGTACCGAACTCGCCTCCGTCCTCCGCCTCATGTCCCACCCCTCCCACTATCCCCTCCTCGTACACTGCACCCAAGGCAAAGATCGCACCGGCCTTGTGTGTGCACTCGCACTGCACATCGCAGGCGCCCACGATGCGGAGATTGTGAAAGATTACGAGCGTACGAATGAGGGACTGAAGAGGCAGAGGGATGTGATGGTGGAGGAGATGCGGAAGACGGGGTTGAGTGAGGAGTTCGTGGATGCGCCACCGGAGTGCATGGTGGGTGTGCTGGCGTATATTAGGAAGACGTGGGGGAGTGTGGAGGGGTATTTGGAGAGTATTGGGTTTGAGGAGGTGGAGCAGAGGAGGTTGAAGGCATGTCTTGTTGGGTTGGATGTAGATGATTTCGGCGGTGATGATGAAGGCGAGGCGGTGGTGGCGAAGTAGGATTTCTTTTGGTTGGTTTGCCTTGAGGGTCTGTGGGACAGGCGGACTTGTTTTTCTGTCCCCCGCCGTATTTGCCTCTAGGTGAAGGAGGACTCTACCCGGGACTTTCATTTCATCCACTCTTTGTACCTTAACCATGTACTGTATGTTCAACCTTTTGGAAATCGTCAAAGTAATAAAGCTGCCTCAACTCTTCCAAACCTAGAGACAGTCGTCAACGGCGTGTTGTGTTTTGACACCTACTATGTACATTACGATCGGTACACACAAATACTGTCGCCTCTTCATCCTTCAGCGCCAGTCACCAGCAGGTCAAACCTTCTCATCTCGCAACTTCGGGGTGATAACCCTAAACACATCAGTGAGCGTAACGACTGAGATGGGCGGACCCATCGGTCTGTCGACAACCCAGACGCGGTGTGCGCGGGTGGCCATCATTTTGCCGACGGCATAGCCGAGTGTGGAGGTTTCGAGGACGTCGAAGACTGGTAACTTGTCCTGAGAATCATTACAACTTGTGTTTGAGTTCCTGTTTCCCCGGACATAGGAAATCTCTCTGAGACGCGGAAAACTCACCCTTCCATCCATGATGCCCTGCTCGGAATCGATAAAAGACACAAAATGCAGACACGTCTGCCACAGCAGGTTGAACTTGAACGAGCGCATGACCCATTTGATGTCCGACATGCTCAGATTGGCGACGATCGAGCCGGTCGAGTTGAGGATGGCGAGGGACGAGACGTCGTTCTTGACTATGAAGAGAGTGATTGAGCCGGGGGTTGATATGAGAGGGCCTGTATGTGAGTGTTCCTTACCCATGGTTTTCAGGGCTTCGAGGACGGTTGTGGAGGAGTCGACGGATACGATGGTTTTGTTGCCTAGACCCAGTTCTTTGATCTGAAACGAGAGAGGCCGGTCGGAAACGATGTCTGGACTTTCCACATCGGAATGAAGCACGTACCGTTTTCGCGAAAAACACTTGAACATCCGGAAACTTCGCAATCTATCAATTCCGAATGTCAGCTTTCCACTTACACAACTGAACCTCCGTTTCCCTTACTCCTCCAACTCTCGACCGCCAACTCACATTCTTATACACATACTGCAGCACGGTACTCTGCGACACAATCCCGCGTAACTTCTTATCATTCATAACTGCTATCCGGTGGATCGACGACGCAAAGATCTCGGCGACTTGGAGGAGATGCGTTTCCTCCATTACGCTGTAGTAGGGGTTTTTGTTGGATATGTCTGGGGAACATGTCGAAGGGAGTGGGTGAGTTGAGTGCGCTAGAGACGGAGGTACTCAGACCAATCTCGTCACCTACCTGCAGCGAGTTTGGCGGAAACGGGTTGATGTTCGCGTGCGCGACGGACAAATTCCTGCAGTTCGACTGAGGCGCCTTCTTCTATTACTAGGTCTTTGCTTAGGCCTACTAGTACGTATGTCACCACGTCTCTGGCATCGATAAACCAATCACCAGTCATGAGCGTGGCAAGTCTGAGGGAAGCGGAACACCTTTATGCACACATACCGGTAATCAAACATCCCGACATAACTATCCGATTCCTTGTCGTACACCGGGGCTGAGGATATCCCGTTTTTGATCAGCAGCTGGAATCGGATGGGATGGGAATGATATGTGCGTGATGAGCAGCTTGAATGCGGCTTAGACGGAAAACGACATCCTGCTCTCTCCGCGCGATTCGAGCGTTGGGGGCAATACCACAAAATACAATGCTCGCTATCGCTCGCAAACAACTCCAAAACCCCATATCGCTTCTAGACTCTCGCGTTGGCTCGGGCACTTCGGGTCCGTTACCGCTCGCCAAAAGCCGCGCACTCTCGCCACCGCTCGCAAAAACACCCACCGCCTGCTGTCGCCCGCCGCCCATCCCTCCTCCCTCTTCATGCGTTCATTATTATTCCTCACCCACCCCTTCCATCCCTCAATTCTCACCGCTCCGTGTCCCACACCACGCACCTCACAAGCAGCCTCAACAGGAATGTCCCCCGGGATGACCACAAGATCCTGGTGCGCGTCAGACAAGAGCTCTGAGCAAGGAATGTTGTACCATTTGTGGAACTCCAGGCCTTCGTGCTGTGAAAGGTAGTTGGATGAGTGAGAGGAGTGATGGTTGTCCTGCTGGAAGTGTGATCTCGCGACATCAGCATTCGGAGCCCGAGAAGAAAGGGAGAGACATGCCTCGGTAAGAGTGGTGGGCGCGTCGGTTGCGCTCATCTTTCTTCTGGCAATGAACGGTTAGTCGTCGTTGTGCGGGTTGGAGGAGTAAGACGTAGTCTGGGTCGAATGAGTCCGTTTGGAAAAAGTGGAAGAACCCGAGAAAAGTCAATGCGAAAAGGAAAGAAGGCGGACGCGTCGGCGTGCTGTAATTTGCTGAATGGCCTTACTGTACTTGTACTGTACAATGACGCACATCCCCCCCTTGTTCAGTCCCTTCCGTTCTCATCAGGACAGCAGCAACACATGCAGGGGGAGCACATCCTCTCTTTCCGAAAAGAAAAAGGTCTAGGTGGCTAGCACGCATCGCTACATGATTGAAACTGGTTCCATCTTCAAAACACAGCTTTACACCAGCAGGGGCGTTCCCAAATTGTCCTTTAGTCGCTTACAGTCTAGTATATTAAACAATCGCATTCTTTCATAGGCACTCGTAGTGTAGTGGTTAACATACTCGCTTCCCAAGCGAGTGGCCCGAGTTCGAACCTCGGCGGGTGCAGGTTTCTTTTTTTCCTTTGACGAGATCACTCACTTTTTGACCACTTTTGGTGTGGCCAGGGCCAGGAAGACTGGTGCATGTAGAGAGCAAAGGACTGTTCCGCTCTTTCTCTGGAACACTTTCGAGGCGGGGCGGCTGGACACCTTTTTGCCCCCTATTTCCGTGATTTCATGGATTTGATGGTTTGGCTTTTTTTGGTGTTGGGGAAACATGCACGGATTGAGAAGCAGATGTCTGCAAGCTCACCAGATACGTAGACGACAGAGGAAATTTGATGAGAATTGGTGCTGATATGCATTGATACAAGAATATGATAGTGAGAAGTCAAGGAGGCAAATACGAACAAGGGTTTGGTGCACACTCTACGCAAATCCCAACGGAACCTAAAGACTACGGAAAAACACGGTATCCTGTATTCTACGCGAGCGAAATGATTGCGTCTAGTTGGTCCTGACGCCAACCTCGGTGTTCTCAGCGGCGGGGTCAGCTTGCTTGTTGAGGAAGTGTTCGCGTTGCTTCTCCTGTTCTTGGGTTTCGGGCTTCATGGCGGGCTAATCATGAGGGAGGAGCAAGTCAGTCACAAGCGTGCGCAAGGCCAGAACAGGAACCAAGAAGAATGGAGGTACATACGAAAAGTAAGACCTCCTTGATGTTGTTCGAATCGGTCAAAAACATGGTCAACCGATCAATCCCCAATCCCCATCCACCGGTGGGCGGCAACCCATACTCCAACGCATTACAGAACACCTCATCGATCAGCTGCGCCTCATCATCACCGGCCGCCTTATCCGCCGCTTGCTGCTCGAACCGCTCTCGCTGGTCAAAGGGGTCGTTGAGCTCCGTGTAAGCGTTGCAGATCTCCTTGGTCGCAACAAAACATTCGAAGCGTTCGCAAAGACCGGGAGTCGAGCGGTGGGCTTTGGCGAGCGGGGACATCATTTGTGGGTGTTCGGTGATGAATGTGGGTGAGACGCATTGGACTTCAATGAATTCGCCGACGAGTTTGTCGAGCATCCGCGCGGAGGTTCGGGGTGCGGAGCAGTCGACGTTGTTCTTCTTGCACAGGTCGTCGAGAAATTGGCGGCCGGATTCTTCGCCGAGGGTTGTGGCGGGTGGGAACGTGCACTTGAGGAGGCGTTCGAGTTCGGGAATCATTTGCACGCGGCGGAAGGGAGGGGTGAAGTCGAGGGTAAGCTCTTCGCCTTCGGGGCCGTTGGGGTGGTATTTGACCTTGTAGTCGCCGTGCAAGGTCTTGACGAGGCCGGAGAGGAATGATTCGGTAATGTCCATGAGATCGTACATGTCGGCGTAGGCCATGTAGAACTCGCTAGAAGAACGATATTAGTGAGTTATTTTCCCACTTTGGCTGTAAAATCATACATGATTGTCCGTGCCATACCATGTGGTGAATTCGGGGTTGTGGGTCATGTCGATACCTTCGTTACGGAATTGCTTGCCAATCTCGTACACACGGTCGATTCCTCCGACAACCAGTTGCTTGAGGAAAAGCTCGGGAGCGATACGCATGAACAGGTCCAGCTTGAGGTCGTTGTGGTGGGTGATGAAGGGTTTGGCGGTGGCACCTCCAGCAATCATGTTCATTTGCGGTGTCTCAACTTCTAAGAATCCGAGATTGTCCAGGAACTTGCGAAGGTAGTTGACGATCTTTGCCCTGGTGGTGAACTTGTTCCGCACGTTCTGGTTCATGATCAGGTCGAGGTATCGCATACGGTAACGTGCCTCCTGGTCCTTGAATCCGTAGTGTGCCTTGGGCAACATACGCAGACAAGGGCTGAGCAGGGTGATGTCCTTGGGGATGATTGACAACTCTCCCTTCTTAGACTTGCCAGGGAAACCCTTGACACCGACGATGTCACCACGACGGAGATACTTGTGGACCTCCTGGAAATCCCGCTCAGAGTCCTGAGTAGACGCCAGGATTTGAATCTTCTCTCCTTCGGCGTGCAGGTCGTAAAAGATCAAGTTCTTCCCGGAAGCACGGGCGTTGTGCAGACGACCAGCGACAGTCACGGTGGCCTTGTCGAGGCGAGCTCCCGGCTCAAGGGAGGAGAACTTTTCAATGAAATGGGGAATCGACATGGACACATCGAATTTGTGAGGGTATGGCGACGGCTCCTTGGTGTCGCGGAGCTTCTGAACAAGCTTGGACCTGTTCTCGAAGTACATGCGAGGGTCCAGCTCCTCCTCCTGTTCGGCCGCTCCAGCTTCCTTCTTTGCGGCAGTTGGCGCAGGCGCAGCAGCAGCCTTGGCAGCCTTAGCGGCGTCCTTCTCCCTCTGCTTCTTTCTCCGCTTGTACTCCCTGCGTGGCAAATATGTCAATCTCTATGATGCATTCTCTGCTTCTCACGTAGATCAACCTTCAACTCACGACTTGGAGATCATTTCGTTTGTAACCTCATCCTTGACCAGGTTCACGTCAACGGTACCGTTGTCAGCGTCCGCCATTTTCGAGTAGCTGTGGGAAAGCGATCTTGTCAGTTTCAGTCGTTCGACGACGAGCTGAGCTCCACAGCTCCGGACAATACAGACGTTAACAAACGCACCTTCTATACTTTTGTAGCTGGGAGGTTACGGTGAGAGGAGCTCTGCAGCAACCGGTAGCAGCCCTTGGGAGAGTAGTTATGAAGCGAGTAGTAATAAGCGATCTCAGAGCTGAAGCTGCGAACGCCATGCAACTTGAATCCTTCAGCGAAAGAAATGCCAAACTGCTGCGGGAATCCAGACGTGGTGGGGAAAAGAAGTTGCTGATGGACGCCAACAGGGTGACGCGCTTCAGAGATGTCTTACTCACTCTGACTCACGCCGGGTCACACACGTGTTCGCGCGCTCATTGGCTGGAATACCTAAATTAAATTCGACAGCGAGGGTCCTGACGGCTCCGCTATCCTGCTTGACACTCACTCACTCCCTCACTTACTTGGTCGGGGTTTGAAAAATCTATGATATTTGGCGCTGAAAGGGGCATTCAGTCATGCAAATGATGTAAACATTTCTGATCAATTGAAATCTTACCCATAGCCGTATGGGTCCTCGATTCTTACTGTACCCAGGTGGGAGACGCACCTCAAACGCTCATCTGGCTCCCCGATCCGAAAAGATCCCATAACACTCTCCAGATCTCTAATAATTCACTCCTCGGCACACTTTCCGAACTGCGGACACTACACGGCACTCCGCTTATAGGACCACAAAACACCCACGCACCGTACCTCAACCTTTCCACTCACCAGATCCTGATACAACCCGCAACAGCATACCCTCCTGCACTACCACGCGATCCACACCCCCACTCGCTCTCCATCATGCCACGGCGGATGTCAGCGGCGGCCTCGGCAGCCAACTTGGGCGGCAATCTGGGCGACGGCCGAAAAGCTTATACGTCGTATTTCAATGCGACAGGACATCCCTCTACGCCTTATACGACTTATGTGGACAGGGTGGGTGTCGAGGGGTTTGGAAGTGTGTGGGAAAGGGATGTAGAGATCGAATATTATCGGATGCATAGCCTCTATCTTGCTACTCGCTAAGCAAACCGCCATCTCATACACAGCTCTTTCAAGAAACGATGCACAAACTTGGCAAGCGCAACACAGACAAAGAAAACAACGAATTTGTCGTTACCCCCGCCTTATGTCGAGGTAAGACACGACCATCGCACATATCTTCAATTTCATTCTCACACAATCATTCCTTGCGATACCCCATAGAAGCGGCACTGACAGCCTCAGTAACACCCAAACCCAACCACGCATCCGCCAAATCACGAAGACCGCCAACGCAACCGGATGGTGCGTACACCACACTCTGATGACGACTGCAATCAACCCCAACTGACACATACCTCTCCTACATATCACTTTCTCGCACATTGCAGACGAATGCCTCCGCTACACAACCCGCCAAAACCTACCCCCACGCGCAAAGTACAACCAGCCTGTCACCGCCGCGCAAAGCTACGGGTGGGAAAGCGCTCCATTCGTATGTCTCAACTGCCTCATCTCAATCACTTCCCACTCACCTGCTACTTACTGACAAACGCATGGAACGGTGATATTTGTAGATAACGACACAAACACCCTTCTCCTACCGCCCGCGCCGCACGACGGAGGTGACGACGACGTATGGGCCCAGTACATCGATTTTTAGTCCGAGGGCGAGGGGAGAGGGTGGTGGGTTTGGCAGTGCGGGCGCGGGGGTCGGTGGTGGGAGGGTCAGGGTGCGGTGAGCTAGCGGGGGACATACGATGGAGAGTGAGATTAGAAAGGAGTGTTGGATTGAATAGGGAATGTATGGTTCGCAGTTTGCCTGGGGCGTAATTGTGACGATAGAGGCGCGGTGTCGTGCAAGAGAATGTAAAATGTACAGAAATCGATGGATTCTTGCGACTTTCGTGTACGGATTTGTCAAGCAGAGCGCCGATGTCTGACGATCCAGCCTCTCCACAAACTGGTGTCCTTGATAACCATATCGCCGACCCTCTCTCAAAATATGAAGGAAAATGCATATATGTACATTGTGAATGCTTTACCCTGCCCCTCTATCTTTCCAATCCACCCCTAGGTATCTAGCGATGACCGTTGCCAAATTCCATCCCATCAATCATTCCGCACATACGCTCTGTAGCTGAGCTGTTCCCAGCGCACGCTCTACACACATACTCGCTCGTTTTGCACGCCGCGTTACTCAACGTGCAAACCACCACGCAAACCCCAACCGGTCACTTTTCGTGGGTGGACAGAAGCATGTGCGTAACGGCCGGTGATTACGACAGTTTAAGACGCAATTGTAGAGCCTAGACTCGTTCGTTCTGCAAGAAGCGGATACGTCGGAAATGGGGAAGATCAGCTCACATGGGAAAACGAGCGGAATAGATATGCTGATCTCATTCCTGTTCGGGACGCAAATGAAAGACACCGTGGTTGAGTACTTACTAGCTCGCTCCGCCTTCTGCATCCGATACTCCGCAAGGTCAATACGTTTCTTCTCGCCCGCGGTCTGAGACAGCTCCATGCTGGGTGCTTCTTTTGCTTCTGCTCGTCCTGCTTCTGCTCTTTCAGCTTCTTCAGCTTCTTCCGCTTCTTGCCGTGCTGGTGCTTCTTCGGCTTCCAATGCTTCTGGTGGAGGTGAAGAAGACGTGACGGTGGTAAGTTTATGTGGCGATGATGGTTTGTGTGCTTGTCGTCGGGGAGATGCTTTTGGGGGCGAAGTGGATTGTGGTGGTGCGACTGATGTTTCCGATAACGATGCACGTGGTGACCCTGGAGGAGGTGTTGCGCGGGCAGGCGTTTTCAGCGCGTTCGTTTTCACGGCTGCAGGCTTCGCCGTGGCTTTGATTGTTATGGCTTTCGACGGTGGCTTTGCTGATAGAGGTGGGTTGGTGATTTTTTGCTCAGTCAGATGGCGAAAGTGGGAAAAGCCCTTATCCGCTGGTACAGACGGGATGGGTCGCAGAAAAATGGAGGGAAGGGGAGATAGCAGGCAGACAATCGAGAAGTGACCCAAGCTACACTGTCCTACATATGCAGGGGGTGGTACTTCTCGGCCCTACACTACAACAAAGAATGGTGATTCAAAGGGGGAAGCTCACTTACTCTCCGCCGCTTCTTTGCTAGCCCAATATTTCTGAAACCGTGCGTTCAGATTCAGTTTTCCAGAAGGCAGACCCGCTGTTCCGGCGGCAGGCATGGATGCGGTGCTCGTCGCGGAGGGTCGCGGCTGGGCTCTCGGAAACCGCGGATCATATTCGCCGTCTTCCTCCGTTTGCTCTTTCTCGTGCCGCTTCAGCTTCTCTTTGTGTGTCAGCCCAGCGGCTCGGGCAGCAGTAGCTTGTTTGTTCTCGTGGATCATGCGGCGTTTCTCGTCCCTCCTCTGTTGGTCTTGTTGTTCGAGTTTTTGTTCGAGTTTGGGGGTCCAGTACTCCATTTCGTAGTTGTCCATGAGCTCGCGGATGCGGGAGCGTTTGGCTTTGATATCTTTGAGCGTGAACCAGGACGAGTCTCGCGATATTCGGTTCTGTTGGATACGAATACAGTGTACTTAGCATTGTACTGCATCGACGATCGCTGAAGCGGGCAATCGCTTGACTCACGAATATGAGGTGCAGGAAAGCACTGGGGTCTTGCAATAGGACTTCAATGTAGTACAACACGTAGATCCCACAATCACAGTGATTGGTCTGCTGCGGCGCCTATGTGCAAATACGGCTCAAATTCTCCGAGGGTTCCCTAGAAATCCAGCAACCATGACCATACCTTGGCATGCCATCCCGTTATACGCTTCGTGGAGAACTCAACTTCGAGCTTTGTTGAGGCTTCTTGAACCAGGTAACTATAGCCATCGGGCTGAATAAGTTTAACACCCATGATAAAACATACAGCGTCCACATACTCTTTAAGGAGCCTGATAGTCCTCTGGTGCTTCCCATCCAACGAATCGAATATGACGATATGACACCTGCCCAAGTCGAAGATATCAGTCAGCGTGCTCAGCCCCGATATGTGGCCAGCAAAGCCCTCAGAACAAGGAGGCTCCAGGAAAGGGGAGCCTACTTCTTCAACTGCTGCACGGTCTTCTCCCTCTGCCTCTGTTCCTTCACTTCCGCATTTTCCTCCGTCGTCTGCTTGTTCGACCCGGGCGCGGGGGGGCTGCTAACCACAACTGTCTTCGATGGTTCACTAAATTGCGCGTCCAGGTCTCCAGGTTTGCGAACCCGCGAGCTCCGTCTGACAAGTTTTCGTTTCTTTCCCGCGCCTTGAACTCCGAATCGGATGTCATCGTCCTCATCGTCGGGCTCCCAGGTGAATGGGTCCTTCTCCGCGGGCGCGTCAGGCGTGTCGAGCTCTATCACTTCCTCTATTTTCCGTTTGGCTGGAGGGCCTTTTGCTGACTTTGCGCCAGCGCTGAGGACGTCTTCGACCACCTCCTTCGGACTAGCTGTCCGCGACCGTGCGCGTTGCCGATCCGCTGCTTTCTCTTCGGGGCCTGCAGGCGCGTCCACTTCCATCGGACTACCTGGCGGCTGCGTGATCACCTCATCTTCGCTGTCGATCTCCATCGGATCGTTCGAACCCGCGGGAGGCAGCATATCATCAAGTTCCTGGCTTGCCAGTGACGGGGTTGGCGACACGCTTCGACGGGTATCCGGCTTCTTCGCCGGCTGGGCCGGGGTGGATGGACTGAGGGTAGGGGATCGAGCCCGTCGCTTGCGAGAAGCACCTTCAGACGTTACCACCGGGTTGGACGACTCGACTTCCTCTTCCACAGCTGATTCAGCTTCCGGTTGAGCATCGGTGATGGCATGTGACCGTAAACTCTCCTCAATCGCGCGCGACATGTTTTGATCTTCTAAAGTCGTCCCGCACACTTCCTCCTCTTCCTTTAGCAGTGCACCCGGGTTGTAGATGAGAGCGAGGTACCAATGCATGTTTTCGTTGATGGGCACAAAGATGTACTTCTTTTCAAAGAGTTTGATTGATTTCGTCCATTTTTTCACGCGCTCGTAACCCGAATCGTCCGGGCTGTTTTTCTTGCCGGTTTGCCCATAAGATAGTTGCTCGAAGAAGAAACTATTGAAGAAATGCACTTCGTTTTCGTGTTCTTTGTTTACGCCTTGCAGGGCCAACCATCTATTGAATGCGGTCAGCAAATCACAATATGCAGTACTCGCAACATAATGAGTTGTATGCAACGCAGACGATGGACTCACTTCATGAAGAACTCGATGACTACATCATTGAGATATTCCCCATCTTGCAGGCGGTCATAGTCCTCCACGCGCACAGTGACAGCCACCTTTTGATCGAACGGGAATCGGAAGAGCCTACAAAGTGAGCGGTAAGTCTTAACTATGTACCCACTCAACATACTATGTCCATTACACAAGCATGCGGAACGGGCACGTCCACTCACTCCTTGTCCGGCGGAGCAATGTGTTTCTTCACCTGCTTCTTGCGCACAGAGCTTTGCAGCGGTTCATCCAACCCGCTCCCCTGATCGCTGTTCGCCTGAAGTGCGGCCGTTGCGCGGGTCATCTTTCTCGTCTCGGCGGGAATAGGCTGCCGTACCGTGTTACGGTACATCACGCTGCAGCGTCGAAGGGATTGCATACTGTGTTCGACAAAAGAGATAAAAGCGGGTGCACAAGCGGAAGGTCAGTGAGGGAGAAGCCATTGCATTCGGGTAAAGGCATACGCACCCAAGATTCTCGATATCTCCTTGGAGTTGTTTGTCCATAACCCTCGATATTCTATCGAACGATCCGAAGGCTACAATTTTCCCTGCATCCTCCCGCACAACCAAGAAAACTCCGACCTCGCGATCCCATTCGAGCTGCCCACGCTGCATTCGAAGCATCACCAGAGAGCAATTAGTTTCGAATCCAGCTAACTTGGAAGAAAGATGGGAGCGGACCTAAGTAGACATACATAAACTTTCGCCCACTGGCCGCGTTTGACCGGGAGCATTGATTTTTTATCCCACCCGAAGTTCAAATGACGATCCGGTGTGATTTTGAGAAACGGCTCATTTTCCTCGTCTGCGACGAGCTTCCCATTCACAAAGACATGTGTCAGTTGGATCGACGGAAAGTCTGCCGGTTTGGAGCTAGCCAACATCTCGGATGCGGACGGTCCCACGTCCTTCAGGGATGCCTTCCTGAGGGCCTGATCGTAAGAGGAGGTTGTAGATTGTGTCATCATTGTCATGGCTGGAGGCGTGGAGTATCGCGAACTGGGCAGGCTCTCCCGCCGATGTGGGGTTTGATAGAACCGACCGGCTGATGCTCCTGCTGATTGCTGCGTTGACAGATGGCATGGGAACTGGATGAGATTCGGGAACGCGACGCTTTTGGCTGTGCCCCATTCCCAGGGGCACATACATACCCCACCGGCGCCTTTCATCCTGCTCGTCCTCTTTTCCGGCATTTCAACAACCACTAGCTGCGTGCGAGGTGTATCAAATCTTTTCCCGCCAGCAGCCTCAAAAGCCTCCTGTGGGTTGAGCCTGGACCTTCGTCGAGCCGCTGGTGTCGATGGTTCCAGTGTTTCGAACTCGCGGGTTTGTGATCCCACGATTTCAACCTGCCGGTTCTGTGACGGTGCAGCTTCCACAGTTACAACGTTTATGCGAGGTTCTTTTTGAATATCCAAAACATAAGGTGCCGATCCGCAGGACCCATCCGTTCCGTCAACCCTACATTACCTTCCGAAGGGACGATCACGAGCTCGACCTCCTCGTCGTCATCAACCTTACTAGCACTCTTGTGTTGATCCTTTTCCTCGACCTGGTCCTCGTCATCGGTCTCCACATTTACAGTAAAACCCCCTTTCCCATGGAACGTCAAAGAGCCTCGAGATTCATTCTTCCTCTGCCCCGGCCGGCTCCGATCGTCCAATTTCCGCGCCTAATCGTATGCAGATTTGAATCAGCAACTTCAATCACCCCAAGCATCATCCTCATACCCAATATCTCATCACCCACGCTAGCAATAACGCCCGAATGAAACGTCAGAGGAGATGTACGGGACGTCGATGACCCTCGAGTGCTGATGATGTTTTGAACGTGATCTGGAACCCCTCGTTTGTAGCCCCGCTCGTTCGCTGCCGTCCTGCCGTTACTGCTGCCGTCGTTGGTGCTGTGGTTATGCTTCCCCGCGGGCGACTCTTTGGGAGTCATAGGCGGCGAATAACGCAGCTGGAGGAAGATCATCAGGCATGAGTTCCAGTGTGCCCAGAAAGTCAGCTGGGTCCCGCAACCCCCTTCCTCCTTCCCTTCTTCTTGAAAACATTCTACTCCACGCGACTCCATAAATGTCGACCATAATATACCTGTCTCTACAACCTCGCCCCCGTATCTCCCTTCAACAATCTCCGAAATCCCAGACGCTCAAACTCGTCGTATTTCCTTGCGTCGACCGGTCGCCAGGAGTCGGAGGCGAGTGCGTGGTCTGCCGTTGTCCGTGATATCCCCGTCGTGACTCCCTCACCGACTAAATGTCCCTCAGTGAGCAGCTGGGTGTTAGCGGAGCTGACTAAACGGTCGGGCCTTGACTGAGCGGCAATGTAACGAGAGAAACGTCCTGTTCGTAGCCTGCTGCCTTTCTCTGTGCGGCTGTATGTGCTATGTATATGAGAATGTTTCTGTGCAGCACTAGGAAGCTCAGCCTGGGAGACTCGCTCTGTGGGAATACCGCGGGGGGAATGCGAATGCTGTTTCGGCAATTTTCGCAGCAGGTTCGCAGAGGTTCGCTTTCGAAATTCCAACTGAACGCTATGTCCGACACGAGGCTTGGTTAACAGAATCCTCACCAAGAAAACAAGGCTCAGTGGCCTGCCGCAACAGTCAACGGACCGGCTGGCTAGGCGATGATTTATACGGTCTTCACACTCTCAGGAACGCTCGACACACACCCCGCGCCAAGATGAGATTACGAGCGCGGGTGATCAATGCCCCCTTGCTCAGCAGTAAGTACTGTACACCTCTCCCAATGCCCCTCCCACAGCCAGTGCCATCTAACGACGTTCTCTGACGACCCAGAGATGGCACTCAGCCTCGTCAACTTGACCAAACGCTACGTCCTCCTCTTCACGCCGACGCACATCCACTTCATCGTAGGCAAATCCACGCTCACCTCGACCCTCCAAATGTTTGGACAAATAATGCAGGACCGCATTTTTGAAGAGTATCGACTCGAATCGTCATTTGGGGATAAGATATATATGGAGGTGGCGGGCGATCTGCTGGTCAGAGCGTTGAGGAGCGCGTTGAGCGCTGTGGATGTGAAGGTCAAGTTGACAAAAAAGGACGGGTGGCCGATGTTGGCGTTCTATATCACCAATGCGGTAGGTATCGCGACCGAACCGAGCGGCAAGTGCAGCAACCCCGCTGCAATGCCAAGCGTCAACGAGGACGGCGCCGAAGGCGCAACAGATAACCCGCGGGGCGGCAATTTGTGAAAAGGAGCTGGAGAGGACTGCGGCGGGCGAAGCAAGGCGTAGAGATACTTAAGGTTGGCGAGCAATAGGCGAGCCCCGCGGAAGAAAGTCGAGGGTAGCAAATGCTTCGCCAGCGAAGAGAGTTTCTTGCGCCAAAAGCGCAACTCCTGATTAGATGGCGCCCAGCGTTATTATCGCGAGTGCAGTGAGCAGTGTCTCGTTCACCCTTTCGCAATCTTCCATCTCCTCGCCACGCTTCCCGCACTTTTCGCTCCATACGTCGCCTACTCATTCCGTAACTCGAACTTCATCTCATCATCACATCTCACACAAACACAGAGCAAAACCGGCAACCGCGTATACCTAACCCAAGACGTCCCCGTGCGCATCCTCCCACAACAAGAAGCGCAAGAACTCGCCGAGCCCGTGGTCGGCGACCAACAAGTGCACATCCTTCTCCCGCCGATCCAGGACGTGCGCAATATCGCCGAGCGTATGAAATCGCTTGGGTCACATATCGTCGTGGGCGCAAACATGAGCGGCGAGTTTGTGCTAAAGATTAGTGCGGACGGTGCTAAGGTGGAGACGAGTTTCAAGGGGCTTGTTAACCCGGAATTGAGTATGTGGGGCGCGTAAAGGATGTGTTGAGCGTAATCATGGATGGGTTTACTGACTTTCCCTTGTAAATCACAGGCCAAGCGGACGGAACTCCATGTTCGGCTCTGCAAACGGTACCCAGGGAGCGCCACAACTTTGCTGAAGTGCGAGTGGATATGCGCGACTTCATAAAGTTCCTGCATAGCTCTATCGTCAACCCCAAACATGTCGTTTGCTGTAAGTTCCTACTGACCGGTCGCATAACTTTCATGCCGCATGGTCAGTGTCTCGTAAGTTGCCTCTCATCCCCACCTTTGATGCTGTTCTTTAGGTATAGTTGACGGCCAGAGCCTGCTTCTTTACGTATACCTTGGCAACGGCGTCGATCAGGATGATGGGCAATTTGTCTACTGTAGGTGCAACACACATCTCGTGAGGAAGCCACCTCGCCTAGCCTTATCCTCTCTTCGCAATCTCGTCTCACTGCTCCCCCACTTTCCTTCTCTCACAGACGTCCCGGCTCGTGCTTCATGATGCACGCGAGAAAGACACGTGTCGGTACTTGAAATGTGGGACGAAACATCACGGCGGTATAGAATCGCGCTCAGAGAGGACAGAGATGGGCAGCTTGGGCGAAAGTGGAACGGGGTCGTGGTGTATATAGGTCATAGAGGGCGCGGCTGGGGCTGATTCAGGTAGACGAATGCGGCGTATGTAGGGTTAGGAGTGTGTTTTTCGTGTGGAATACAGCTTTTTGGAACAGGTTTTGATTTGAAGAAGCATCTTCGAGCGCTTGGTCCATGAGCATGACCACTCGACACAAGTCGATACGTGTGTCGAAGGAGGACTTCGCTCCGAACCAATTCCCACGTCTCCGTTATCCATCCATACACTCGGATCCATTCATGAGGTATATTGTATATGTGCAAAGATACAAAAACCAAAGAGGCGATGCAGATGCAGATCCAGACTCAAATCCACCCACGTGATTCCGGTGGACCTCTAAATGAACTTTTTCTCGACCTTCGTTCCCGCCCTTTTGATCAAACTCACGATCCACATGAGGATCAGTCCCGCAGCGAACCCTAACGCCCCCACGATCGATAGGTGGTGCTTTGGCGGCGCGGCAGCGAGGTACGATTGTCCTGTCTGCTGCTGCTGTTGCTGTGAAGATGGCGGTTGTTGCTGTTGTACTTGATGGCCTTGGGATGCTTGCTGTTTGACATTTTGGTGCACTTCTTCCACTTTGTTTTGCGTCTGTCGGAATAAAAGGGCCAATTGAGTCTGAGCATGTGGCATGGCAGCAGTGGCCCCGAAAACTCACATGCGAGTACGCAACGCCTAGCAGCTTCACCTCCTTCATCAGCTCATCCAGTTTAATTCTACAAACGGCAAATGCCCCATAAGCAAAGAATTCTACGAACTCTCGCCGTCCACCCATCCAATACATACCCCAAATCATCAACCTTCCACGCCAGATCATGCGTAGCAGCGCGCTGTTGCTGATTATGCTCCTTCTGCTCTTCGTGTGCCACGGGCTGCTGTGAGTGCGGGGTTAGCGGTTCGCCCAGTTTCGTTTGAATTTGGTTCAGTGCTTCGATGATATGGAATTGGTTTCCTTCGATTCTTTGGACGGCGTGTGGCTGGAGGTAGATACGAGAGCGTGAGGCCAGGTGTGAGCCAGATGCCAGTTTTCGGAACATGTAGGATACCACTTACGTCAAGTGTCTGGAACTGTGCATTCGGATCTTGCGCAGCTTCTTGCTCATGGCGCGCAGTCTCGACATCCTTTTCCACTTTCTCGATCATCTACGAACGTTCGAAGGGCGTACATAAGCTTCATTCGCTCCGTACCTATATCACGTCACGATGCGAATGCTGTGCCGGTCTCGTCATACCTTCTTCATATCGGCATCCAGCCGATATTCTCCTTCCTTTTTGATGTGCTCCTTCTCATATGGCCGTTTAGGGTGCTAAAGCATCCAAGACGGGGCGGATCAGCGTAGTGCTCCTATCGGTGTCCTGTCGGTGAAGCCTGGGCTTACCTCCTTTATGGGCTTCGGGTTGAGCTCGTACACCTCGAAAGTCAGCAGGTCGTGGTCATCTGGGCAAAGTGCCAAAAATGCTCATCAGCCCTTTTATCGGTTGGGTTTTGGAAACGAAAAGTCGGCCTTACCCGCGAGATGCGCTTCGGTTTGAGCGGAAAGTCCAAAGTAGTAGTTGGGAGGCAGTTTGACAGACGCCGGTGTCGTGAAGCATTCATGGTACGATTGGCCGTGTTGCGTCAAGTCCAAGTCGACCTGCGTAGCTTACGTCGGTCAGGACACAAGAACCGTGACCAATCGCACTTCACGCACAAGCGACATACCCTAACAGTCTGATTAGCATACGTGACCCGCGCCCAAACCGCTGCCGGGGTATTCCTATAATCGCGGAAGCACCCCGCAAGTGCATGTTGGGCGTAGTTTCGCTGTTGCAGCAGGTCCTCGTGGCCATTGTTTAACACGGCGTAGATGTAAGGCGTGTAGCGCTGAGTGGGAGGATGAATTGGTAAAGGTGGGATACGCGCGCATCCGGGTTCGTTGACTCGTGGTAAGAGGCGGATAAACCTACGCTTTCGTGCTGGTCCGCTGTGTCGAAAATGATACCGAGTCCTAGGGAGAACGCTTGTCGCATCAAGATCCGGCTACTCTGCGCACCCGCAGGAACATCCGCACTCACCTTCAAACTTATCCTTCCCACCATAGAATGGCCCGATATCCATTGGCTGCTTCGTGTACCAAAACGCCATGCCCTCGCCACCCATATAACCCCGTCCATAGATGTGGAACGAAAACTCGACCTGCCACTCGGGGTGTGGGTTGGGTTTCACTGCCCATATCGAGCCGTGCGACTCGGGAACAGATGGTGTTAGGCGGATGTAGTCATGACTTAGGATTGTACCTGGAGAGATACGAAACCGGATTAGCACCTTCCAGGCTCGGCATCTGACCTAAACAAGTGTTGGAAATGCGGCTGCACTTGGGCATGAGGCTACATGGCATAAGTGAGAGCCGCTGTTTCCTCGCCATCACTGAGGCTTGCGCCTTAAAAAGGGACGGCTCCGCATCCCTCGCAACATCCTCACTGCCGCAAGCGGAGCGCGTTCGGGCCGCCACCGCTCTCCTTCGTCGAGCAACCCTTCCAACATCCACTCCAACCTTCTCAGCAATTCTCCCACTTCCCTTCTTGAGATAACCGTTACCTACTTCCGCTCTCCTTGAAATATGGCACCTTGACCTCGTCATACATAAAATACGGCTGCTTGAGCGCCTGACGGTAATCGTGGCGCCTCACCAGCCCCTCGCTGTGCAGTTCGTAGTTGGGTTCGATGTAGGCTGAGACGAAGAGGGCTGGCACGGCAGCTAGGGCTGCGAGGAAGAGGGTTTGGAAGTGCATTTTGTCGGGTGGAACGGTGATCTGTAATTTTCACAATCCGTCAAGATGCTTTGGTCAGGACAGGAACGTTGGGGGGTCGTTGGCGAAGGATGCGAAACGAGACTTATTTCGCACAACTTACTTACGCTGAAGCGCAGTAAGTGGACCGGGTAAGAGCGTTCTATGTCGTGAAAATGTACCTCGATTGTGAGCGGGGTGATCTCCAGATGACCGCAAGATGGGTGCAAACGGCAGGCGGAGGCTTCACCTGAACTGGCGGCGGACGAAACCGGATACGACCTACTGACTTGAAAGTGCTCCTTGCCGGTATGAGTAGAGTAGACGGCGCTACCTGTTTGTATCCTCTCTATATTGCGACCGAGTGGCCAATGCGAAGAGGTGTGAAAGTCAAATGTCGGGCAACTGCCTTCCAACTGCCACCTTCAAGCGTGACGTTTCCGTGCAGAAACATAAAACACTGTGACAACACAGCACACAGCACACAGTCCTTGACAGCAGGGGCGCTGTCGGAGTCCGCTGTCGGAATCCGTTGATGCTTGGCTCGCACGAATACCAAGGTCAAAGCGAGCTATCCCATTGCAACAGATCACCTAGATGAGAACGCAAATATGCCTTTGGTTGCTTCGAAAATGTCGGTAGCCGCCAGTGGCTCGCTCCCGTTGGATCTGCCCAGCTCGTTTTCCCCCGAGCTACAACTTCAAATGTCCTCTCACCTCACCAAAGGCGCATTCCGGTGGAGATTTTTCGGGAACTTTTCGAGTACTGCAACTGAGAAACTCGATTTCCCTTATCATCACTTGCAAGGATGTGCATGATGCTCTCATTCGTGTGATATCTACATAAATATCAGCGTAACGGCCGAGTTTTCCGCGGAGCGCCGGGAAGACAGTATTAGCGCTCTTTATCGGACCCCCACTCATTATGCAGGCGGGACCGACGCAGCTGGATTGAGACGATGCAGATCGACTTCAACATTGTAAACGACGACTCGGCTTACGACTATGGGTCCCTTGTTATTGACGAATCCTTCATGACGTATGCAGATGGAACCCTTGACTTCCGCCGCTGCAAGCATCCCAAGATTCGCAACTATCCAACTATCCGACAGGCCGTTGCAGTTGAGAGATGTCGAGGCTAGGGTGCAGTTTAGTGGGTTTTGCCCCCGTAGCCCACCCGATCCAGAACCCACCAAACTACACTGCTTCTACTCTGTGAGAACACGCGCCGGAATCTTGACCCACCATCTCGCAATTCCAAACCCAAAACCCTAGCCGGCGCAATTCCAAACCTAATCACGCATAGCATGGAGGAGTTCTCCAGCCATAAAGGTACACATGGAAAAGTACTTTTACAAAGGCATGTGGCGCCAGCGTTTTTGTCCCACGGGCAGAACCGTTATGCATTTGGTGTTCTGCTGGGCCACATTTGGAAGCACCATGGTGGAGTCTGCGTGTGGAGGATGACAGCAGACGGGAGGGGGTATAGTGGACGCACAGGCTTGGTGATGGTTGACAGCCCGTTGGAGGATGATGTTGAAATAACAGCGGACCCATTGGACGAGGGATGGAATAGAGAAGGCGGGGGGGGGGGTTCAGGGGGGCGGCTTTTTCTGTAATATATACGTAATATTTATAATAATCCTCCTTGTCAAATGAGCAGCGTGCAGAGGGGGGTCCAGGGGGGAAAGCCCTGGTGGGGGTGCGGGGGGAACCCCCGCTGTGGTTGAGTGTAGTTTGGTGGGTTTTTCTTTGAGTGTAGTTTGGTGGGTTCTGGATCGGGTGGGCTACGCGCGGAAAACCCACTAAACTGCACCCTTACCGATGTCGGACTGACTGTACTCGTGCCCATGGTGGCGCGTTGCTAGCTCCCTGGGCCCGCCAAAGGAGTCTTCAGACTTGCCTCAGGATCGCGCCCCGCGAGCCAGAGGTTGCATATTTGGTGGTATATGCTACCTTGGCACGAGTAGGCGATTTGTCGCGGTATGTGAACACGACTTGTCACGAGTACATTCAGACACTTCCGGACACCGTTAAGAAACTAGAAGTTGCCGTACTGAATTGCAGGACGCTGCCGAAACGGCTATTTCCGGATTGACATACCGAGAGGGAAGACCGAGTGGTAACCTACTACCTCATGATACTTCGACGCGTGTGAAGCCTTTCTCGACGAGAGTACCATGGATTCCGATGTTCCATTCCCGTGGAGCTTGTTTGAGACCATAGAGTGTCTTCTTTAGTTTAAGCACGAGATGCTCTTCTCCTGTCTTGATGTAGCCCAGGAGCTGCTTCATATAGATATCTTCACTAAATGTTGGGTTTATTAATATGCTCTGGACGAGGAACATAGTTCATGAGTTCAATGGATGAGGAGAAGGTTGGGCTTACTAAGCTTCTTTTCTTTCACTCGAGTGATATACAGTATAAATACATCCCCATCCCTATCCCCCATCCCCATCCCTATCTCTTTGGAGGGAGAGCTACTCAATGATGGCCAATGGCTAATGCCGGGGGGGTAGGGATCATGTGAATGGAGCTGTTTGTCTGGGAGCCATATCCGGTGGGGGTACCACCAGGGGAACCCATGAAACCCTATAAATAGTGATGAATAGTGATCATCGTTGGGGATTGCAAGCGATCATCGTTTTGGAATGGCAGCGCGGTGTGGCGAGTACAGAGAAGGTGTGCTTACGGGTGGTGGGCGGGATAGTAAGCACAACCTTCTCCTCATCCATTGAACTCATGAACTACATTCCTCGTCCAGAGCATAATGGATTCCGTTCGAAGGTTGTGCTAATTTGTCAATGTACTGAGTGCTGCGGCTGCTGTGTTGAGGTAGGTTGCGACAGAAGCTTCGTTGGCTGAATCAGCGCTGCTGTCGTCGTCATCAGAGGGCACCTTTCTGTTGTCGTTGCGGATGGTGTAGGGCGTTTTGAAGACCATGGAGCCGGGGAGCCAGCGTCTGGCACAGATGGCCTCGGTGGATACCGTTGCGCTGAGCGGTGGTGAGGGCGTGAGAGATCGATTTCGGCGTGTATTTGGGACCAAATCCCGCATCACACAGGGCGGTGGCGACGAGTTTGGATATGGTATTCAGCGCCATGGGGGAACTCTTCAGCATGTTGATGAAGACTGCCTCGAGGCCCGCTTGGCGGGTACCTTGCAGCTCAATCATTCGAGGGTAGAGCGCACGGATGTCGTGGTTGCGAGTAGGAATGCGAGCGATGGTGATAACGCGGTAGTCATGTCCTTCAAAGACCTCTTCCCCATGTGGATGTAGATATCGCCATTCTTTGGGGCGGCACAATCTGAGTTCTAGGTGCGAGGGGCGCACCTCACACCGGTCGTGATGGAGGTTTGCCAAATGGCTCGGCCGGCATTTGGTAGACAGCATGATGATGACGGCTAATTGATGACTCACTGCATGCAGCTCATTCCAATCCAACACCGAGGATGCGACGTAATTCCACAGAGTCGCCAGATACCATATCTTTGTGTAGGCCTTCTTCCGTGGGCCGGTTCTAAGATGCATCGCCTTTACGATCGACTGGGAGAGGTACAAGCGGTGAAAGGAGCGGTTTGGTGAGAGGAGCGTGAGGGTGCTGGTGACTGTGGACCGCGCGCTTTCAATAACCTTGACGCTTTTCCCATTGTGATGGAGGAAGGTGAGGTAAGTCACCACGTCCAAATCGGTGGCGCAAAGCGGATCGAGACACCGTTCAGTACACCACATACTGAAGTACTTCCAGGATGACTGGTAGTTGTGGTTTGTCGACGTTTTGTAGGCCGTGCTGGCCAATTCCGCGGCCGTTGCCAATAACCCCTGGTTTTCGAGGTGTCGCCGGACAAGCACCAGGCGATTGTGAGACTCCATGGGGGCGGGCCAATGGGGAGGCCCATCTGTGGGCGGAAGACGTTCTTCTTCAATGGGATGGGAATCGTGTCTTCGAAGCTCAGGTGGAGTAGAGCAGGGAAGCTGATCATTGTTGGCCAGTACGGGGTAATGACTGTGACGTCCTCTGCGCGTTCGTACTGGATTTTCCTCACGATGATGCGATTTGGGCGCATCCACATACGGCGTGTTTGCGCTCTTCAACTCTGCAATAGTCTCAGAAAACTTCTCTTTCTTCTTTCTTTCATCCAGAAAAACACCAGGCATTTTATGAGGGGGGAGTTGATGGTTCACTTCATTGTCGGACGTGATGGGTTACGCCTTGAATAGGCGGAGTACATGAGTCAATGCCAGAGTGCCAATTAGAAGATTGGAAGCTCTTAAAAGCGGTTTGAACTTTCTTTCCTCCTCCTCTAGTAGCCGGCTGCAGTGGATCCAGGAGAGCGCGTATTCAGAGCGGAGGGCTTGCCGGCTGCTAATGTGGCAGAGCGTGCTTTCTGAGTTTGGTTTGTTGAATCTTTCGGTTGCATGATACTTTCTGAAGGAACCGGCGACGAGGACCAAGCTCTCTATCCTGACTTTGTACGCAAGTAGCGGGCAAAGCTAGGGCTCATAACCAGTTAGCGGTAGCTGGCAAAGTAATACAGACAGAGAGCAGAACTCTATGTAGGGGAGCCAAAGCCCTGTATTGTATGAAGTTTTACAGTGTTGTCTTGTAGACGGAAAGGAGGACGGGAGGTCTGGGGAAGTGAGAAAAGGGTGAAGTCCCGTAGGCGGAAGCATGACGTAAGTGGGAGGGAACTCACGTGAGGATACCGGTTGATTGCAGCAATACGTCTGCTGCGGGGGAGCTTCCATGCCGGTCAGACAAGACTGAAATTGTTTTTCCGAGGCCTGAAGCACTGGAACCGCAACCCGATGCGTGGATCGCTCGTTGTGCTTTTGTGGGTCATCGCAAGTTGAATGGCAAGGTTTATTGCATTCTGAGAGATACACGATGTGGACAACACTTATGGTAGGTCAGGGATGGGTGTGGGAACATGGTTTCCAAACCTATAACCCCAACACGCCCATTGATGTCACCTGAGGTGACAACGGCCATACCTTCAACGCCAACAAGCTCCTTTGTGGTGATCGGCCAGAAGGTTGATTTGGGCGTGTATTCGAATCACCTTTTCTATTCAACATTGGAGAAGTATGTGGATAGTTTGTTTATCAAGCACGCGGAATTGCCGCCCGATAGAGGTGAAGATAACTTCCATACCAAACTGGAGCCTGGTATGAAGCCAGACTTCAATCCTTTACGGCATATGAGCGAAGCCGAACTCAAAGTGCTTAATGAGGAGGTTACTGTAATGTGGGTTGTCCGGTCTAGCTGGAGAACGACGCCTTAGTCCTTTTTATCTATGGGTTCCATTCCGAATTCTATTCTCCATTTCACCTTATTATGATTGTTCTAGGTGATAAGATCGACCAAGCTATCCGGTTTCTAGCCAAGTGAGGACTGTTTGTATAAAAATGGGTAAAAGTAGTTTAATGTTTAATTTAGAATTCTATTTATGGCAATTAGGTGTCTCCGGGATAATATCCGCCTCGACACAACTAATTCAGGATGAGTGACTTGAAAGTCACTCATGGGAAAACGGTTCGTACCATTTTGTTTAACTAAGTTTATTTTTATGTTTGTTTCTACGTTTATTTAGAGGTTATCGGTGTTCTATAGGATATCATCCTTATAGTCCACCTCAATTAATAGGATCAAAGATCGTAAGCTAAACAATAGGGAGAATATAAAGTTAAATTCGGTAAGTCCGATAACAAAAATAGATTGAAGGGTAAGGTCGTTGACCATGGAGGTTCCCATAAGACTCCCATAAATCCTATAACAGTTAGGTAACATCACCAAGGTCAAGCATCGAACGCTAAATCAAGATAGAAAGTAAAAGATAATAGAAACACCTAGTGGATAATACAACGGAAGCTAAGTAAGGAGTAACCGAATAACTTAAAATAAAGAATAAGTAAGAAAAGAGAGTAAGGATCAAAGCCATATTGGGCCATGAATTGGTAGCAGACCCAATCAAAATGGGATTGTTCCACGATCGCAGGTTATAAACCTATCTTTGTTACAATAATGTATTGCTGGTGAGCTACCAGCTTAGTACAGTGAGATCTTTGGACAACCATCACCAATAGCACTGTTATGGACGACGCGCACATACCATGAGTTACCTACTGACAGCCGCCAATGTCAACCGCCAATGTCAAACGCCAATGTCAATGTCAGTGTCAGTGTCAATGTCAGTGTCAATGTCAATGTCAATGCCACTCCCCCTCTCTCCTCTCATTTCGCCAATCCTCCCGCAATATCGCCACTCCTCCTCTCTCCTCACATTTTGCCAATCCCCCTCGGCTTGTCCACATCCCCCACTACTCCCCCATAGCCAGCAGCTGTAGCAATGCTCTCTACGCTCGCCACGCACGCTCTAGGAGCATAGCTGGCGCCCCCCCCCGGTCCCCTCTTGTTGTTGTTGTTCTCTGGCCTGCTGGGTTGCCTATCTATAAATAGCCGGCCTCTCTTCGTCCATTCCCTTCCTCCCCAGCAGATCAACACCAGTTCTTCTCATCTCTTGTTCTAGTCATTGTCTCTTGTTCCGCCAATACAATCTCTTGTCGCCCATCGCTCTCGCCCTGTCTTCTCTACTTCGCTTCCACCTCAGTCGTCGAGATCATAACAGTTTGATCTGCTCCAACACTGCGAAGTTCAGGACCCGTCCCGCCCTACGTCTGCCACACCTTTTCACCTTGTCCCAATCCGAATCCGTACCTTTCACCGCCGAGCAATGAAATGATATGTGCCAAGCCATTGCCGCCTTGCAAAGCCAAAACGCCAACTTGCAGGCCAACCTAGCGCAAGCCCAAGCCGACGCACAAGCTGCCCAGAACATTGCTGCTCAGGTCCAAGCCGATGCGTACACCCGTCCTCAAGTCACCAACCCTGCTCCCGGAGCTCTGGAGCCAAGAATCAGCTCGCCTGAGAAGTTTGATGGTACCCGCAGCAAATTCCGTGGGTGGTTGAACAACATCTGGTTGATGTTTGCTCTCCAGCCCGACCGCTACCCCAGCGACATCATCAAGATCCAAAC